ACACACACCGACTGACACACACGCACCGACTGATACACACACACGCACCGACTGACACACACGCACCGACTGACACACACGCACCGACTGATACACACACACCGACTGACACACACACACCGACTGACACACACGCACCGACTGACACACACGCACCGACTGACACACACACACCGACTGACACACACACACCGACTGACACACACACACCGACTGACACACACGCACCGACTGATACACACGCACCGACTGACACACACGCACCGACTGACACACACGCACCGACTGACACGCACCGACTGACACACACACACCGACTGACACACACACACCGACTGACACACACACACCGACTGACACACACACACCGACTGACACACACGCACCGACTGACACACACGCACCGACTAACACACACACACCGACTGACACACACACACCGACTGACACACACACACCGACTGACACACATCGACTAACACACACACACCGACTGACACACACACCAGGGCTCCACGTCGGAGGCCTTCACCCTCGGGGGGGGTTGGGGGGGGGGGCGACGCGGGGGTCGCGGCTCCGCCAGTGGCGGAAGGCGCGGGGGAGGAGGTGATGGGGGGGGGCAGTAGCCCGCGGCGCGGGGAAACTCAAAACGAGACGCGGAAGGCGAGCGGCCGAGCCCCCTCCCCTCCCTCCTCCCCTCCTCCTCCTCCTGTTTTTCTCCATTCCCTTATCCTCTTCTTCCTCCCCCCTCCTCCTCCTCTCCTTCCTCCATCCCCTCCCTCCTCTTCTTCCTCCCCCCTCCTCCCCCCCTCCCTCCTCCCCTACCCCCTCCTCCTCCCCCTCCTCGCGGGACGAACAAACACCGACGAACCCACGGCGTCTCCCGCCGTGGGCGCGGCGTGCGCGTCTCAGCCTCTCGGCTCTCTCCTCCAGCTGCCTGCCCCCCCACCCACCCCCACAGAGGTCTCCGCAAGATCGCCTGGATTGTGAACGTGTCTCGTCGACCCGCCACCACCCGACATAGCCAGGCGAGGGTCTGTCACCTTAACAAAAGGTGGCAATTCGTTGTGTGCTGAAGTAGTAGCTTATTGGCAGGTTTGTTTACGGAACTCGTAATTAAGTGGCTGGAAACATCTTAAAATAAAACCCCAATGTAGCGACAGGACCCTCCTGAGAAATATAACTACTATTGGGTCTGTCTCTGCTTGAGAGATATACGGTGTATATTAAAATGTGAACTTTTTTGCCAGTATCAAAGTTTGAAAAAAAAAATAAGAATAGGTTTTTACCTTTTCTGGCTATGAAACAGGAGATGAAAACTATTCTTATTTTTATTTGATAGCTATCAATATCATTACGTATTATAAATAATTATATTATTATGACGACCACCAACACTCGTATATTGACGCGCATGTTCAGCTGGCACATTTCCATGCATCGATTTAATAAATCGTACACCCAGCAAGGTCTCACAGAGCCTCAAGACTCGTTGCGAGGAGGGTCGTGCTACGTTTTTATTTGTTTGTTATTTCTGCAGTAGGGTGGGTGGGGTCATGTTGCCATGCATGTCCCCCAATCGACTCGTGAGCGGTGACTTTGATAATTTTTGGCAAATTTGGCAGCGTGACGTCAGCGACGCCACGGCCTGAGACGAGCTTCAGGACGCCACTGCAGCTACGCATCTCCGCGGTTGGTTACGTACGGCGCGAAAGAAGTTCAACATAGTACATACATAATACACACAATATACATCATATATACAACATACGTACCCAATACATACGACATGCATACATTATACATACATACAAACAACATACATACAAAATACAAACATTCATACAAACAACATACAACATACAAACAACATACATACAACATACATACAACATACACGTCCTCTCAGTGTTCCGCTCATTTTGCTGCCACTCCACGGCTACTCTCGATCACAAACTATCATCATCATCATCACCGTGGTCATCATCATCATCACCGTGGTCATCATCATCATTACCGTGGTCATCATCATCATCGCCGTGGTCATCATCATCATCGCCGTGGTCATCATCATCATCATCGCCGTGGTCATCATCATCATCACCGTGGTCACCATCATCATCATCGCCGTGGTCATCATCATCATCGCCGTGGTCATCATCATCATCACCGTGGTCATCATCATCACCGTGGTCATCATCATCATCGCCGTGGTCATCATCATCATCACCGTGGTCATCATCATCATCATCGCCGTGGTCATCATCATCATCACCGTGGTCATCATCATCATCATCGCCGTGGTCATCATTATCATCATCACCGTGGTCATCATCATCACCGTGGTCATCATCATCATCATCGCCGTGGTCATCATCATCATCACCGTGGTCATCATCATCATCACCGTGGTCATCGTCGTCACCGTCGCCCCTTCTATCCGTGTGCTGCCCCGGGCCACTTTTCTCGTGTTCCCACTTCACCACGAGACTTTGACGTCCACTGCCGCGCCTCTGGCTTGACAGGGAAGCACCAACTCGCTCCGTTCTTGGAAAGTGGCCGTCAACTCGCAAGGAACAAGGCACAAGGCTCCTCTGTCGAGGCGGTTCTTGGCCGAGTCCCAACCACCCCCCCCCCCCCCCCCAGAAAAAAATAATTTCATCCTTGGGTGAAACTTAAAACGGCGGCAGCTGCTGAGTTCGCTTTTTTAAAAGTCGAGGAATTATTTTATTTACAACAGAGCCACACGCAGAGCCACACACAGAGCCACACGCAGAGCCACACACAGAGCCACACACAGTCACACACAGAGCCACAACACAGAGTCACACACAGAGTCACACGCAGAGCCACACGCAGAGCCACACACAGAGCCACACGCAGAGCCACACACAGAGCCACACACAGTCACACACAGAGCCACAACACAGAGTCACACACAGAGTCACACGCAGAGCCACACGCAGAGCCACACACAGAGCCACACGCAGAGCCACACACAGAGTCACACACAGAGTCACACACAGAGCCACAACACAGAGCCACAACACAGAGCCACAACACAGAGTCACAACACAGAGCCACACGCAAAGTGACAACACAGAGTCACAACACAGAGCCACAACACAGAGTCACACACAGAGCCACACACAGAGCCACAACACAGAGTCACAACACAGAGTCACAACACAGAGCCACAACACAGAGCCACAACACAGAGTCACACACAGAGTCACACAGAGCCACAACACAGAGCCACACACAGAGTCACAGAACCACAACACAGAGCCACGACACAGTCACACACAGAGCCACAACACAGAGTCACAACACAGAGTCACACAGAGCCACAACACAGAGCCACAACACAGAGCCACACGCAGATCCACACGCAGAGTCACACAGAGTCAAACACAGAGCCACACACAGAGCCACAACGCAGAGCCACAACGCAGAGCCACAACACAGAGTCACAACACAGAGCCACAACACAGAGCCACAACACAGAGTCACACACAGAACCACACACAGAGCCACACACAGTGTCACAACACAGAGCCACAACACAGAGCCACAACACAGTCACACACAGAGCCACAACACAGAGCCACACACAGAGCCACAACACAGAGCCACACGCAGAGCCACAACACAGAGCCACAACACAGATCCACAAAACACAGAGCCACAACACAGTCACACACAGAACCACACACAGAGCCACACACAGTGTCACAACACAGAGTCACACACAGAGCCACAACACAGAGTCACAACACAGAGCCACAACACAGAGCCACAACACAGAGTCACACACAGAACCACACACAGAGCCACACACAGTGTCACAACACAGAGCCACAACACAGAGCCACAACACAGTCACACACAGAGCCACAACACAGAGCCACACACAGAGCCACAACAGAGCCACAACACGGAGCCACAACACAGAGCCACACGCAGATCCACACGCAGAGTCACACAGAGTCAAACACAGAGCCACACACAGAGCCACAACGCAGAGCCACAACGCAGAGCCACAACACAGAGTCACAACACAGAGCCACAACACAGAGCCACAACACAGAGTCACACACAGAGCCACACACAGTGTCACAACACAGAGCCACAACACAGAGCCACAACACAGAGCCACACGCAAAGTCACAACACAGAGTCACACACAGAGCCACGACGCAGAGCCACGACGCAGAGCCACACCGCAGAGCCACACCGCAGAGCCACAACACAGAGCCACAACACAGAGCCACACACAGAGTCACAACACAGAGCCACAACGCAGAGCCACAACACAGAGCCACAACGCAGAGCCACACCGCAGAGCCACAACGCAGAGCCACACCGCAGAGCCACAACGCAGAGCCACAACACAGAGCCACAACGCAGAGCCACAACACAGAGCCACACGCAGAGCCACACCGCAGAGCCACAACATAGAGCCACACACAGAGTCACACACAGAGCCACAACGCAGAGCCACAACAGAGTCACACACAGAGCCACACACAGTGTCACAACACAGAGCCACAACACAGAGCCACAACACAGAGCCACACACAGTGTCACAACACAGAGCCACACACAGTGTCACAACACAGAGCCACACGTGCGTTGTTGTGACCCCGCCCCCGGCAGCCTCACCACGTGGATCGATCTCGATCGACCGAGTGTAGGAGGATGAAGCGGAGTCACCCACGAGGTCGCCTCGAGGGTTGTTCCCTGTCACCTTTTATTCTGCACTGTATCCATGCCGCAGCCTGCGTCGCTCCCCCCCCCCACCACCACCACTCAACGCGAACTTCTAACACAGCAGCCATCGTCAGCGTCCGGGATTGAACCCACGGCTCTTCTGAGTCCAGGGCGAGGGAGATAACATCGTCCTTGCCTTGGATCGCCCTGCACCGACATTATCTATCGTGACCCCCACGTTACACACACGCAGACAGACAGACAGACAGGAGGACAGACGGACGGACCTGTGATGTCTTTCGCCAGCGCTGTCCAGACGGGAGCGAAGTCTGCGCAGTGCCCGCACCACTCCGTGTAGAAGTGGACCGCCCAGGCGCTCGTGGAGTTGACGATGGCGAGACGAATCCCCTCGGCCCCGAGTTCCACCACGGGCCCCCCAGTCTCGTACAGCCCGGCTCGGGAGCCCCCCAGAATAAGTGTAAGCAGCAGCAACAGCGGCGGCAGTAACGGCAGAGAGGGGAGCGGTAGCGACAGAGGCGGAGGAGGAGGCATGGGAGGAGAGGCGCGGAGCGATCGATGGGTGCCGGAACTCTTCTGAGTGTTTTACACGGAGAGAGGAGAGAGGGGAAGACAGAGAGAGCGAGGACTGTCGGCGAGAGAGAGGGGCTGATAGAGAGGAGAGTGGGGAGTGGGGAGAGAGTACAAGAGAGAGGACGGTGGGGGGGGGGTAGAGAGAGAGGGGCTGATAGAGAGGGGAGTGGGGAGAGAGTACAAGAGAGAGGGCGGTGGGGGTGGGGTAGAGAGAGAGGGGGGGCTGATAGAGAGGAGAGTGGAGAGAGTACAAGAGAGAGGACGGTGGGGGTTGGGGTGGGGGGGTAGAGAGAGGGGCTGATAGAGAGGAGAGTGGAGAGAAGAGAAAGGTAGAGGGAAGTTTAGAGAGTTCAGGAGAGGGGAGGCTGCAGGAGGGAGATTGAGGGGGGCAGAGAGAAGGAGAGAGTAAAGTGCACAAGCGCGAGAGAGTGCAGGAGGAGAGTGAAATTCCGAGAGGTGAGAGTGAGGAAGTGAGGGAGGATATTGTGGGAGGGAGAATGAATGAGATAAGGAACTGGAGGGGAGTGAGGGCCAGAGAGAGAGAGAGTGGAGAGATGTTTGGAGGGAAGGGAGCGTGAAAGATCAGAAGGGGGTCGTGAATGAATGATGGGAGAGGAGAGTGAAGGAATGAAGGAATGAGATGGCGGAAGAGAGTGAAGGAATGAGATGAGAGAGGAGAGTGAAGGAATGAGATGAAGGAGGAAAGTGAAGGAATGAGATGAGAGAGGAGAGTGAAGGAATGAGATGGAGGAGGAGAGTGAAGGAATGAGATGAGAGAGGAGAGTGAAGGAATGAGATGAAGGAGAGTGAAGGAATGAAGGAATGAGATGGGAGAGGAGAGTGAAGGAGAGGGAGGGTATGGACGGATGAAGGAGACACGCAGAAAGACACAGATACAGACACACAGAGAGACAGAGACAAATACAGACACGCAGAGAGATACCACAACGGTAGAGAGACACGGAGACAAATAGAAAGACACTGAGACAGATATACACAGATACACAAAGAGACACTGAGACACAGATATAAACACTGAGACACAAAGATACACTGAGACACAGAAATAAAGACTGAGATAGAAACTCAGATAAAGACACCGAGGCAGTGATATGCACACAGATAGACACACAGAGAGACGGACAGATAGACACGCAGACAGACAGACAGCGAGATACACAAAGACTGGCAGAGATACAGACAGGAACAGATAGATCCACACAGAGACACAGAACCACACAGAGACAGACACAGAGACAGACAGAACCCCACAGAGAGACAGCACCACACAGAGACAGAGAACCACACAAACACAGAGACAGAGAACCACAGAGAGTGACACAGAACCACACAGAGACAGACACAGAGACAGATAGAACCCCACAGAGAGACAGCACCACACAGAGACAGAGAACCCCACAGAGACAGACACATACACAGAACCCCACAGAGAGACAGCACCACACAGAGACAGAGAACCACACAGAGAGACAGAACCACACAGAGACAGACACAGAGAACTACACAAACACAGAGACAGAGAACCACACAGAGAGACACAGAACCACACAGAGACAGAGATCTACACAAACACAGAGACAGAGAGACACAGTACCCACAGCCGTGGCAGCAGCGCGTTGCACGGAGGCAGAGAGAGAGAGGGCACTTGAGTCGAACCGATCTCAGATCGAGTGCCGTGAAATTGCGTTCCTTCGTCACCCAACACGCAACGACGGCAGCCAGGGGCGGCGATGGTGCCCGGGGAGGCAGGGAGGGGGTCGTGGTGGTGGTGATCGTGGGACGGTGGAGGAGGGGGGAGGTGATGGGGGAGGGGGTGGAGGGTCGAGGGTGTGAGTCAATGGGCGCTTCTTTACCGAGTCTATCAACAAACCGTCCTCTAGTCAAAATGATCTCGTGTCGGCCACGGGGGGCTGTTTGGCCATACTTCACCACGCTGGTGAGCGTGGGTTGTTGGTAGGAGCGGGTTGGTGGCAGGCGCGCTTGGGCGTGGCGAGGCAGCACCACACCCGACCACCGCCTTGACCTCTCCTTGACCTCTCCAATGGTGATTGAAAGCTTTCGTGACTGCAAGGATTCATCTTCTTTGGTTCTTTCGGTAAAGTCACGTAGAATGAGAATAAAATAATAAAATAACACAATAAAATTCTCACGACGTTTCGGCCACAACGCAAGTGGCCGTCTTCAGGTGAAAGGTACAGACCTGTCGGGACGACAGAGATTCAATGGTCTGTACCTTTCACCTGAAGACGGCCGCTTGCGTTGTGGCCGAAACGTCGTGAGAATTTTATTGTGTTATTTTATTATTTTATTCTCATTCTACGTGACTTTACCGAAAGAACCAAAGAAGACTCTCCAATGGTGATGCCGATCAGACACAGCGCCGGATACTTCTCATTTTAAAGGCAGTCGACAGAGGAGGAGGCCCAAGACCGGTCCAGATATCACTCGCGACTGATCTTAGCCGTGGGAACGCACTGAGAACTCATAGCGGAGTCGGCGTGCTAACCACTGCGCCACCGCTCCCCCGCCCACGTGGAGTTTGGTGAACCGCGATTGCAAAAAAAAATCCATCGGCATGTCTAGAACATTACCCCGGAAAATCGTGGAAACTCCTCCAGCAAAGTGGTTGTGCACGCGTGCGTGAGAGAGAGATGCAAACTTCGCGCGACCGAAGAAGGTGAGCCGGCGTGCGACGACCGCGTGGGATCAGGAAATCTAAAACGCAGCGCCCGAGCCTGCACGGCGGCGTGGCAGCCCAAGGAGAGAGGACTACACCTGAGGTGCCGTCGTGCGTTGTAAGGATCCTCCCCCTCGTGTGCCGTGCCGGCAGTCCGTGAAGGCTATACGGGGGTCTTTGCACTACCCACGTGACACAGGGCGCTCCGAATCATATTCAGACGGAGCTCACGTGGTACGTGTGTCGCACAAGCGTGTGCCACGTTGAACATGTTCAACCATCATCAGGCGCGTGCAGCGTGTACGGGTATTTATCTGTCTGCGAACAGAGAGGATCGGTGACTGTGCAAGGAGACTTTGGGGGGGGGGGGGGGCGCTCGAACTGCAGTTTTCAAGCAACTCCTCTCTTAGACCACTTCCCCATCATGGCACAGCAAAGCATGCAGACCCATCGTGCCGTGGGCAGCGCAGCGATATCCCGTTGTGCCGAACTTCCATTATCTGTCCCTCTACGCTCACCGGGCCTTCAAAGCCCCCCCCCCCCCCACTCACCAGCACGGTGCAGGGCGATCCAAGCACGGTCAGATAACAGCCCACGAACTCCCAACGGCGTGGCAACAAGCAGGGCGGCCCTCTCATCCCGCGGTGGGGGTTTTTCTTACGAAAAACAAATAAAAGCGTTCCGTTGCGTACTTGCGGCGTGTGATGTGCATCAATCCACGGTGGATTGGGATGGAAGATTGCCATTGACGAGCAACTCCAGACAGCGGCGATAACGCACACCGCAAGCAGCAGTTTAATGACACCGTGCGCATTGCAATGTGTTCACAGGATGCACATCAAAGTCTTCACACCGCGGGGGGTGAGGCAGAATTCCCATTAATCGGCATTGTACAAAAACTTAAATGACTGCCGTTAGTGGAATTGGCGACCACCCCCAGGACCCCACACGAATCAGCGCTTTCTCTTCGACATTGGGCCCGCGTGTTGCAGACAATCTGACACAAGTTCATGACTTCGACAACCGATACAAAATAAATCTTAACTTTCAGGTGACTTTAAAAGCTGGCTCGGATTATTGCCACCACCGCAAGCTGCTTGCCAATGCCGGCGACTCAGCTAACCGGTGGAGATTGAACTTTGGACAAACGTTGGTCCAACCACACTCCAACGGCGGACATGTTTACTGGGTAGCGTGCTCTTGAAAGTCAATTGATGAGAGTGGTGCGCGCACATAAGACAAAGATCCCCCGCGTAGCCTGCAACAGTGTCGGGGCAAGTGCCGTTAGCGAGTAGCACCTATGAAGGCCGGCACGGCGCACCAGGGGGTGGGTGGCCAGCACCACGCCCGACCGCTTTTGTCTCCCCAGTGGCTTTGTTTACTACACACCGCCCGACCGCTTTTGTCTCCCCAGTGGCTTTGTTTACTACACACCGCACCAGGTACTCATTTTAGGCCGAGTCAACCTAGGGGAGGCCCGGGACCTGTTCAGATAATCGCCACTGGTGTTGGCCGTGAGCGGGAATCGAACCCGTGTCGCCGGGTTCATAGCGCAGCGCGCTAACCGCTACACTACCGCTCCCCCCACACACACACGTACACACGCACGTACAGACACGCGGTCTCCATGTTAATTTGTATCAGCTGCGCTTTAATACAGTGACACTGCGGTGAGGTCACAGGAGCGCAAAGAAAGTCCCCCGTGAAAGTCAGTCGTGTCAATAACGGAGCTTCAAAACTCGTTGCGTGGCGACACAAACAAAACAGCCGTTTATTTTTTTTTGCATTGCATCCTCCTTCGGTTAAAGTTAATTACTAATAATTAAGATCGGCAATAACTTACGTAGTTATACATATTTTATAGTTAGGATAAGGCGCCCACTTGCTTAAATGACACACACGATTAAACGGGCTCAACGTAATTATGTCCAATGATTACATTATTAATAATAACAGTTATAATTGTGCTTATTATCCCTTGATAAAATACACTATGTACAACAATTGACTCGATTACAACTCGCGGATATATACACACACACAGAGTCGGCGTCACGACAAAGCGGACTCCAGGCCTTGCGGCCCACCACTCAGGACCCCCCCCCCCCTTCCCTGCTCACCAATCACATGCGCGTGAATCACGTCGTGGACACACCGCACGCGCCGGATGCTGCCGAAACAAGCCCCCCCCCCCCCCCCCCCCACGTGATGCACAGCGCTCCAATTCCAACTCTCAAAGAACCCTCGCGACATCGCGTGGGGGGGGGGGGGGCACGCGCATCACACAGCGTCACGTGGGGAGGCGTTGAGCAAACATCAGGCGCGTGCGGTGCGTGACGAATCGTGCGATTGCAACTGGGAAGAGTGGTAAACGCGGGAAGCAGACGCTACCGCAGCGACCGAGAGAGACGACTGCAGTCCGAAGCCCAGCTGTAGTGAATCTCGTACACACACGTGTGTACACGCGTGTACGGGGGGAGGGGGGGGTATATTATTGCAACGCGAGAGGGGAAGCGGGTCAGGAAGGAGACACCAAGATTCGGCACGAGCACAGGGGACGCGTGGACACGAGGCGAACTCTGCACAACACTGCGTGTTTGGGCGGGAGCTGAACTCGATTCAAGCAGAACCGTACAAGGGCGGCACACATGGTCCTAACTTTGACATTTATACTGCGGCTAATTCCAATACCGACCCTGACACCGGCTACATTCTGGTGCGAGATCCTAACCCCGACTCCGCACTCAACACAAACCATATTCCTGTATCTAACCCAAAGACCCCACCATAAACCTAGGCCAAACCCCACAAACACAAATCTTGAGCCCGAACCATATTACTGTCCCTAACGCTCGCAGCATTGCAGGCAGCAAGGTTCACAGTGAGGAGGAGGTGTCTGTAATTCAAGAGAGGTCTCCCCAACGTGGTCAAGTGAGGCTGTGTGTATCAGAAGAGTGCATAATCATCTGAAGGGGAAAAAAATCCATGGATTTCAATGAGTTAGGGCTTGCATTCGGGTCAATTGTTACGACTGGAATTAAGAGTTGCGTTTATATGACATTTAAAACCTGCTCGTTTATGCGCGTGGGTTTCCTCCGGTATGCTCCTCGCTTGTACAAAATATTCGAAACGCCATCGACCACACGAAGCAATGCGGCCAAAATTAATAACGCAGGACCCTCCTGGAAGAGTCCCAAGACTGCGCAGCTCTCCTGAATACCAACAAAGTCTTAAGCTTAATCGTTCATGATTACTCTAACTTCAACCCTATCACAAACATTATCCCCCCCCCCCCCGCCTTACACAAAAGTCACAATTTCACACTAGTCCTGAATAAATAAAACAACCCAACATACCTCCCGAAACAAGACTCTCATACCAAGCGCGGCTGCAATATCTGCGCTAACGCGTGTCGACAACGCAGTTCCCCCCCCCCCCGCAGGGTCGATCATTTTTGTCGTACAGAGTTCGAATGTCACGCACGTCCTCTTCGGTTCCCGGGCGGCGAAAGGGAATCTCGCCGACGTTCATAGCGCGCTGGAATAGGAGGAGGGCGCGGCGAGAGGGAGGGGGGGGGCAACCGAAGTCAGCCAAGCGGTCGTGAGAAAAACTCTCTCATGATTATTATTATTCAAACTTCGCACACCGACGGCGGCGTGTGCTCTGCGTGCGTCATTAAGGCAGGTTAATATATGAAATCGGGAACTCGGTTTCATGAGCGCGCTCCCTTTGACGGAAGGCGCGCGGAGCACATAAGGTTAACGTACGCGGCATAACAACAAAGGTAAAAATAATCGTGAATCGCACGCGCTCAGCCGCGCGCAGGCGGTGCAAAACAACGGCACGGCAATAATAATAATAATTCCACGCTGGGTGTTTAAGGTGAGGAGTTGGGCTATACACAGGATCGCGAGTCCATTGGCCAACAACGGAGGCCGCCCCCGCCCCGGCACTCGCGACAGACCGCACAGCCTGCGGCGACGGGCCGAGCGGTCGGCGCGCCGTGCCAGAATTTATGACGCGTCGCGAATTCTATCACGGGGCCGCTGAAAGCGATCGCTCAGCATTTACTCGGCAATATCGCCGTAGCGAATGGGAGATTCTCACACACACGGCGATCCCCCCCCCCCAACTCTCTTTAAGCCCACTTGGCCTATAGAGGAAAGTGCCGTTAGCGAGCACCTATTAAGGCCGGCACGGCACGCAGGTAAAAGGTCGAGGAGTGGCCCACAGCACGAGGACCATCATTCGTCTCCCCAGACCTCACCGTCGCCTCCACGATTTCAGGCTGAGTGAACCTACGAGGAGGCTCGGACGAGGTGCAGGTGACAACCCACGGCGTCGACGGGGTCGCACCACTGCCGCGCAGCCCCGTCTCTCGCCCAATTCCCACTCACCCACCCACCCACTCACGCACGAGAGGTAAAGTGTTCGGGTCAATTCTAGCAGCAGAACTTAATTAAGGCATAATCTCCTTACTCACCCACGACAAATCAACCACCTCGAAAGTGCAACATCAATTCATTACCAGACGAGCAATGTTCGTTCAATTCTGTTGTTGTAGTAGTTGTTGTTGTTGTTGTCGGCAACACACGTTGCTTCCGCGTCCGACGGAGCGGCGCGTCTCGTTGCTGCGATGTGCGTTTGTCCGAGCGCGGCGGTGCCGTCTGGACATCGCTCCAAAGCGTCGTGAGGGCTTAGGTTTTACCCGGGTCTGTTACACCACATCCAGTATACATCCTCTCGTTCCGGCTGTGCTGGCTACGAGTCACGTGCCACCTACTCCGGTCGATGACCAACGAGCCGGGAATATGATTCAAGCGAGAAATGAAGCCTTGCACGTCATCGCGAGTCGAACTCTATTGCACAGTCCACCCCTTTAACAAACGCACACACGGACACAGCCTCCTGCAGTATTATGTACAGGCAGTCCAAACTAACTTAAGTCCGATTTTGTATTACATTTTAGTGGTTGTGTTTTTTTTTATTCCCTTTCCGTGTGTCCACGTACAGCAAGAGCATGGGCAGGGAAGACGGGAACATTGGGAAGAACGAAAGGACCAGTCTGAAGAGGGGAAGAACAGTGGGAACGTCAGGGAATTGAGAGCGGAAGCTTTGGTGGGGGGGGGGGGGACAGAGAGAGGGAGAGTCTATGAGAATTACGACCTCTGAGCACTGGGCCACATACGAATCCGGAAGTGCGTTTCCCTGTCACGCAGCAGCGAAGCAAAAAATGAGATGCAAATGAGCGATCGCAGGAGACCGGATAATCCGCTGCAAGCTCAGCAAGCGGCAGCAGCAGTCATCAGGGAAAGGACTTAATGCAAACTCAATCAGCAAATGTGTCCTGTTCGGGAATACGCGAAATCCAATTGTGAATGCGAATGTCAAGATGCCGAGCGTGTGCGGCGATGGCACTGCACGGGTTTGCGGAACGAGCTGAAGTCGGCGAGTCCCGAGTTCGATTCCCGGTCACGGCCAACATCAGCGCTGGGCATAATCTGAATCTGAACCTGTCCTGGGTAAGTCTACCTCCGTTCACCAGCCCGCACCGACCAGCGTGGTGAAGTACGGTCGAACAACACTCATGACCAGTACAACGTCGCGAGTCCTTCATATAGCAGTGGATTGACCACACGGCAGTACATTATTGCGTATTATTATATAATGATGCATAGGATCTAACCTCACGATCCAAACATCACATCATAATCCATGACCTTCAATTACTTTAGATTTGCACAATTTGTTCGCGTAGACTCTGCAGCCACGAGGGGCGCTGCTTCACCACAAAGGTAAACAGAAGACAGTAACTTCAACCGCCGAATCGTGACGAACGCAGCCCAACTTTAGAACCCCCCCCCCCCCCTTTAAAGAAAGAGACGATCGCAAACCGCTGGATGGGGAAAAAAAAATTCGAACGTAATCGGCATCGTGCAGCAGCGGTGGGAAACACATTTCCGGCAGAAAACACAGCCTCGCCCCCCCCTCACGAACCCCAGTGTTCCAAGCCTGGTCTCTCAAGACACAACAAGTTCAACCTGAGGACAGGGTACGATGGATGAGTGGGTGTCACGAAGTCATGGTGGTGGCGGCGGCCCGTGGAAACACATTTCCGGATGCAAACGCGGCTCAGTGTTCCAACTCTGGTCCTTCGGGACTACAAGTTCGACCGACCCCATGACAGGGTCCAACGGATGAGCGGGGTTTGTCACCGGGCGGCGGTGTTGGAAGTGGTGGCGGCGCGGAAGGCGCGGTTGTCGTAGATCTGTGAGAGTGTGTGTGCCGTGTCGGCGAGCAGCGCCTCGAAGATGGAGTCCACGGCCTGCATCTTCACCTCCAGCTCGTCGTCCTCATAGCTGACCCACTGCGGCTCCTCCTCGTGCAGGTCTCGCGCCTGCGGGGGAGGGTGGACGCGACGTCAGTGAGGGTGGACGCGATGAAAGGGAGGGTGGACCGAACAGGAGGCAGGGGTACAATGGGAAGAGTGTGGACATTGGAGGGTTGCGGTGGAGAGGACAGAGGGTGGACAGTTCTAACCCCTAACTCCACGAACCAAGTAAACACCAGTTCAACATTTTTCTCAAACAACTCGATTGTCACAAATTGTCACCGTGAGAGTCCAATTTAAATCGACAGAGCCGGTGCCTGACGGCAGCGCAGCACCAAAAACGCTTCCTGACTCGGCGGAAGCGTTCCCGGCTTGGGACAGTACGAATTAACTGCCTGACCCCGTCACGTCTACTGCGACGGCGCGTCTCACCAGGATGATGTCGACACGGTCGCGCGATTTCTTTCCCCACTTGACGGCGCGTGGGAGGTCGGGCTTGCGCCCTCCAATTCCCGGCCCGGCGGTGGCGACGTTGGCGGCGTTGCCGTCTCCAGCCACGCTGCCCTCAAACAGCCCTAGCGAGCGCAGCACCTCCGTCTGGATCAACGCCTGGGATGGGTGGGAGGGAGCAAGCGAGCGGCGAAAGACAGGAGGATTAACGTGATGGCAGACAAACGTTAATGATCATCATCATCATCATCGGCCCCGATCTATCCGCTCCACCGCTGGACGAGTGCCAGACACGCGACGGAGCAATTCACGAAGCTCGTGCACCACGAGTCCATCTCGTCGGCTCCACTTCCGCGACAAGACGTCCTTCAGTGGGGCGCGTTCCCCCCCCCTCCACCCCGTTTGGCCGCCGCTCCGTCGTTAGTCCCGACCGACGGCCACTGTAGCAGAGAGCTAGAGTGATGCCCGCCGCGGAGACGGAGCGAGGATCCGGGCTGCGTAGATCGTAGGGTTCTCACCGCGATCTCGTTGTCGCTGTGCACGCCCCCGATGCGCCAGAGGTAGAGCGAGGACCCGCGGCGAGGTTTCATCCAGGGCGGGCGGTCGGTGTTGGGATCGTCGGCGTGCAGTTCCATGAACACCTCCTTGGTCAGGTCGAATACGGACTGTGGCAGAAATTATACAATTGTACGTAAGATGACAGTGGCTGAAATAAAGAGTGGGGCTGTTATTGTTACAAGTGGCGGTCTAGTTATGGTGACAGGAGAACAGGCGGGAGAGCTTAAGGAGGGGTTGGGGTAGTGATAGGTAGGCCTGGTCTTAGCGGGGCTGCAAGGGCAACCCTCGCTGCCCCCACACAGTGCTGCACCGCATGCAACGTGCGATGCACCCATCGCACCCCGGCCCCCCCTTCCCCCCGGCACCCCCCGCTCCCCGCCCACGCACCTGCTTGTAGACGCGGCGGCTCACGCTCTCGATGTCCTGGCCCCGGCAATCGGCGCCCAGGTAAGAGCGCGGCGCCGTGACGTGGCGCGCGTTCTCGCCCAGCTCCGTCAGCTTGTCCAGCTCGGAGAGGGCGACGCTCACCAGCGCCGCCACCTCGGCGTGCGAGTGCGGCACGGCGAACAGCGCCTCCTCCTCTTCCTCCCGAGCCCTCTCGTCCTCCTCCTTGGCCTTCACGTCAACGATGCGCCCGGCCGTGGAGCCGATAGATTCCGGAGAACCCGGGCGACCCCCCTCGCCAAACCGCACGCCCCGAAGGCTCTGCGAGGGGGAGCACATCGCACGTCCGGATGTTTAGACAAAAAATCATGATTACGATCGTTCTGAGAATCCCGACTGCAATGATGCCGGTGCAATGGTGAGCATGCCGGATTGGCAATCCGGAGGTTGCAGGTTCGATTCCATTTCCCGGCGCGGCAGTTGAAAAGTTTCTTAAATAACCCTCCCCTCTGCCGCCTCCGTCTCCCAGGCAGTATAAATAGGTACACCGCAGTCAGATGATATTTACATCACTTGGCGGGGTAAAGTGTCGGTACTCCCACCTATTACACGATGTCTGACCGGTGCGGAAATTAAGGCCAAAATTCCCACACGAGGGGCTCTCTATGAAGCACACCGTGGCGGTAGCGCTATCGCAGCAACACCGATGTCCTCTATTACGCTCACCACCTGGACGAGGGCATCGTCACATGGCCCCGACCATGGTCAGCGTGGTCGGTTGGCGAAGGAAGGTTAGCGCAGACGTGGAAGCGCCGAAGTTACAGAACAACAATAGATTGTGCTCAACCGCCCACTGCTGCCCACCACAGAGGCCCACAGCTGCCTCTGACCACCCTGCTTGTGTACAGTGGGGGCCCATTCAAGCGCCATCCAGGCTCGACCCGGCTTAGCTTCTGGGGTCTGGCAACGTCGGGCCCGTTGTGGGCGATATTGTTCACCGGAGACACATTCACAGCGGGTGCTTATTGATCGGGCGCTCATTTCCGCCGAGTTATACGAATCTCTTTTGTTTTATTCTGCTGCGTTTTTTTTGTCTTCGCAGGAAGAAGCCATTTCCGGAGCCAAGAGGAATCGATTGGGAAGTTGGCGTTCACTTTGCAGGGAGATGGCTGCTGCGTACTCACGGCCACTTACATCCAAGATCCTCGTCTCACTTGCCAATGCCAAAATATAAAAAGGCCGAAAGAAAAAACACACGGCACACAACCGGACTTGAGTCTGAGCAAAAAAAACCACGGGCCGGGTGGCCGCCAGCGATTAAACCGGAATCTCAAACGTATCGAGTCGACACAATACGGTCACAATGCTTGATAAAACAAAACAATGACAGTACGATACATTATATCATCGTCGACATCAGCCATTATCAATCCACTCCTGGCCGAAGGCCTTTCCCCAAGTCGCCGCCACCTCTTAAAATAGTTTTTTTCTTGTTCTGACATGGGTTGCACGTAAATAAATGTCGTTGTTTTTGTGCTCGTTGGTTTGCACATTCCCTCCACCCATGTCCTGCAACTGATGCCACTGCCGACAGCCTTGGGCTGTGGCTGTCCTTCTATAGCAGAGTGGCTTAGCTCAATGGGGCCTGCAGTAAGTGGGTAACAAAGACACAAGTGAAGTGCAGATAATGATGTCAAAACATTTAATTTAACGTATTTTTTGTGGGCACGGTTGACCCAAATAACCCGGACAACCTGCTCACGGATAATCCCGAGTAGCTGCCACTACAAGTTTGCTTTGATATGGCGCTCTCAATGCAATGCGTCAACGGGTCCTTAACCAACAACACTGTGAGCTAAAACACTCGAACAGCACTGGTGCAGCAAGACGACTTCATCGCCTCCCACCTGCTGCTGTTGCTGCTGCCGCAAGGCTCGGCGATTGCTGCTCAAGCCAAAGTCCTCGTCGAACCAGTCCTGGTCGTCCTGCAGAAGGCCGGCCTCAAGCAGCGCGCTGCTCAGACGCATCTGGGCCAGCGGCGTGCTGAGGTCTTCGCTCGAGTCCAGGTCGCACTCGGGGCTCACCTGGGCACAGGAAGGTTAGCCTGGTGAGACCTATTGGGAGCTGTGATGGCGAGATGGCAACTCCCTCCTCTGGCATGCAGAAGGTCGTGGATTCGATCACGACCCTGACGCCTGTGTATTTGGAGTTTGCGTGTCTCTCTCCCCGTCATCACGTGGATCTTTCTCCTGGCCCTCCGATTTTTCCCTCCACATTTAGAAACATGCGTTTGGGAGCATTTGGCCGCTATATATTCCCACAAGACAAGCCACTTTGTTGTGCTATCATTTGTGGCCAGGTCGCTTGTGAAAAAGAGCTATATATATCTCAGTGGGACTTACCTGGTAAAATATAAAAAAAAATGTTTATTTAACCTCTCAATTAGGTCAGGGGTGGGGAAACCTTTTACTTTCTGAAGGCTGAATAAGATTTAAATGCAAAAGGCCCTTACTTTGACAGAAGTGACTGAGGAGGAAAATATTAAACACAGGGTTGGGAAGATGGACACAATTGCCCTCGAGTACTCGATTCGTGCAGCTCAGTTTCTTGCAGTGATGGACGTATGTTTGTATACATGTAGAACTTCTTTCGCACCGTACGTAGCCAACCATGCCAATCAGACGTACGGACTACTATCATTTGCAGGCCATTTAGAAGTGGTGAGCCTCACGCACCTGTGTACAACAGCTAATGAGGTTGCAGGCCATATCTGGCCCCCCTGGGTTCGAGTTTCTCCACCTCTGACCAAAGGTAAAAAAAAAACCTCATTGTAAAATTTCACCGTGCAAAATCGAAATAAGTGTTAGCGCTACCTGGTGGGGAAAACGCGGCATCACGCCCAATGCAGAGAGTGACCGGGGCAGCGGAGGACTCCACGTTACTCGCGTGCTCTGCTGTTTAATTGACAATTGTTGTAAATTTTTAGAAATCATTAAAATTCACCAACGTGAGATGTAAAAGCAAACAAGAGCTCTTATTTTGTAGATACCCACCCCGGGCAGCATCTCCTGAGCTGTCCCACACTAGTTTAAAGGCTCGTTCATGAGAACTAACAATACATATCGACATTCTGGCATTGCTGCTTCAGAAGATGTCACTCCATCAAAAGTCTATTTATGACCCCATAGTCTTGAACTTCCCTATCCCACGTCGTGCTTAAAGCTGCTCACTCATCATTGTGCAACTCGCTGGCCCGCTGACGCAAAGCGTCACGAAAAATGCAGAGGCACTTCTTCATCCGTCCTGTGTGTGAACGCCCGCTGCCTGTTTTTAGAATACGAGTGGACATTAAGAGTGGCCAAAGCGCAAGAGGTAATATTTTTTATGGATTAGGGCTATAAAGTAAATTTTTATAAATTGTAAGCGACTTGAGGTGGACTTCCTAGAAGAAAGCCTCAGATGAAGTATTTTAATTTGTTAACAATGAAATAAAATAAATCATCTGGCGTCCTTTAGGGGTGGAAGGAATGAATCACCCACCGCCACAGGCAAATTTAATTGCCGCGATTCAAGTTCACCATTCAATCCAAGGATCGATTCATTTGTTTACACCACGATGGGTGGCAGCGCCTCTAGTGGCTGCGAGAGTGACAATAACCCATTGCAGTACAGCTCGTACAACATTGAAACACCTCCGATTCTTCTTATACGTGCGATTCGACGACTAGTAAGCTTACGAATTGATATTAATGAGACCCCGTTTAATCATCGGTGGCCGAAGCCGAGGAATCGAACCCTAGGGTCTCAACGGTGCTCGGAATCTCGAACCAAGGGGGCCACACAATGCGACACATTTATTCAAAGAACGTCGCCCCGATCTGGATTCCTTCGAATCGAAACTACGGATGGAATTTGCATTTAAACGTTAACCGGGCTTGGCGACTCCCGACACCGGCAGCGCGTCGCAGCTGTCGCCAGCGTCGCTTACCGGCCTCGCGGTCGGCTCCGGCGGGAAGGCCCTCTCAGTCTCGAAGTCGATCCCCCCCTGCGGCCCTGGCTCGCTGCTGCTCTGCGCCCTCGAGTCCTCGTGTCCGGCGAAGCCATTGGCGAGCCGTGGCGGCTGAGACGGCTGCGGTGGCGTCGCCGGCTCCAAGAGCGTGTTTGCCTGGGCGATCTTATCATTTCGCGCCTGCCGCAGCTGCAGGTACTGGTCGAGGGCTTCCGACACAAACTTGCCGACGAGTCCGTTGGCGACCGCGTCCGCGTTGTTTGTTTTGCGTTCGACTTCCGGCTGTTGCCGCTGCTCTTGCTGCTGCAGTTCCTGTTGCTTCTGCTTCTCTTTCTCCTCCTGCTGCCGTTTCTGGTTCAGCAGCTCCTGTTGCTTCTGCTGCTCCTCCTGCTTCTGCCGCTGCTGCTCTTGCTCCTCCCGCTTCTGCAGCTCCTCCTGCTGCAGCAGCTCCTCTCGTTGCTTCTCCGGCTCCGGGTGTTGCGGCCGCAGCTGCTCGAAAGTCCCCTCTCTCAAGGGCATGGCGTCGGCCCTCTGTGCCTGCAGGCGGCCCTTCTCCCTCGCGAGCATGTCCAGCAGGGGCGTGTAGAGGGACTGATCGTCGGGCACGTACGGCGCCAGCCAGGACGGCTGAGCATTTTCGTCCGCGTCCGAAACCGAGACGAAGCTGCCGACGCTTGAGCGACGACTGACGCTTCCCGACGGGGTTCCTTTCGAATCCTCACCGTCGGGGGCGGACACGCGGCTGTACATCGATCTGTCGTCATCGTCGTCATCGTCGTCGTTGCGGTGGTCGTCTCCAGTAGGCTTCGCAGCTACAGACAGGTCCCCGGGAACGCCAACCGTTCCTGTGTCTTGCGGTGCCGCGGCCTCCGTTCTTGAAGACTCGTCGACTTTTTTACGATCAACGACCGCTCCTGAAATCTTGGTTACCTCCTCGTCACCATGGCTGCTGACAATAGCTGATCCCGCACGACTGTCCGCGACAACAGACGCCGCTGCCGCTGCTGTCGCTGCCTCTGCGATGGCTGCTTCAGACACCTGCTTGAGCGCTTCGGCAATCACGCCATCGACAAATTTAGCGACCTCAGCGAACAGCTGCTCGCCGAGCTGGATGCTGACCAATGGGTCGTCCTGATCGCTGCTCGTGGGGCCCGTGAGCTCGGACCGAGCGGGCGATGGCAATGGCGATAACGGCACCGGCTCAGAGTCTCGTTGCTCGTTCTCATCCTTAGCGGGCTCCTGGCTTAGCGACCTTGGGCTGAGGAATCGCCACGTCTCCGCGTCCGTGTCGCCCTCCCGGCTGGCGGTCTCAGCCTCGTCCCGTGCCGTCTGTCCGGTCTCGACACTTTCCGCTTCGTCGAAGGGCAGGTTCATGTCGTGGCTCTTGGGAGAAGAGACGCTCTCAAACGTGGAAGTGGACTTCATGAGCAAGCTGCTGATTTCCGAGGCGTCGGCGGAGGAAAAGTTGGAGGAGAATTCAAACTCCTCCGAGTCGGAGAGATCCCCATCCAACAATGCCTTCGGGATCACCTCTGCATCATTGGTCACGCTCGGCAGAGCAGAGTCTCGTGTCGTTCCGGCATCGGGTAAAATGTTGCGGATCACGGTCCCGCGAGGCTCTTGCCAAATATCCGCCGACCACGATTGGAGAACGACGTCCGGACCGTTAGGCACCTGCGCCTCGTCGCTGCTCTCGCTCGTCTGCGATGCCGTCGTGTCGACGGCCATCGCGGGCAGCTCGTCTGTGACGGGACCCGACGGCTGTGCAGGCAGCTCCACGGCGACGCCACCAAAACCACCGACCCCCAATGCAGGCACCGCCGAATTGCCGCCGTGGGAATCGCTCGCCGATGTCACATCGTCTCTGTGCGTTTCCACGGCGTCACCCGAGCCGATCAGCACGAGATCGTGCACTTCCCAGCAGGGCGGAGCGTCCACTGCCTTCTTCACCGCCGTCTTCACCTCATCACCGTCATCTCGACGTTCGGTCGGCCGGCTCACATGTTCACTCTCACCGAAGCAGTCTGGAGTTTGCAACGAAAGGCCAACGTCGCCGCCAACGGCTTCTGGCGCGAACGACTCGTCCGCAGACGACGCCAACTCCGATCCCTGACCCAAGCCCTCCGAGTTTCCGGCCACGCGTCCTGAAGGAGGCTCGTCGCGCAAGTCCTTCGCCGTGGGCACGGCGCGGGCGTCGGAAGGGGCAACGATGTCGTCGTCCGGCAGCCAAGAGTTGGACGACGTTTCCGCTGCCGGATCGGCGACTCGACCGCCGGACGAGTTCGGGGAGCTTGGCTCGGCAGGTTCGAAAGTCGAGTTGTCGTGGACGGAGACACCGAGAGGCGGGGTCGGCGAGCGGGCGTCAGGCGAGGGGACGTCATCGCGCCGCGCAGCGGCGCTCGGCACGGGAAGCGAGCCGGACGTCTCCTCTCGAAGGCTCGGCCGTTCCGAGAGGCCGTCACTCGGCGCGGAGCTGTCTTTGGATGCCGATATAGCCAGGGAAGAGAAAGACCCTGAATAATAAGAGTGCGGCGGTCAGGGTACATATCGCTGGGCACACATCTGGGAAACAAAAAAGATCAATTGTATTTCTTTTTTTTTATAATTCTGCATTATCATTTGTACGTAAAAACCTTTGCTAACTGGCCCCCATTACAAGAGGCTTAATAATAATCGTAACATTTTCGGTAACAAAACACATCAGCCAGAAATGCACGTGCGTGGGAGCATTGGTGACCTCACCTTGCTCACACGCGGCGGTCTGCATTTCCACAGTCTCCGCTAGAGCAGAGCTCCCATTCGCTGGCTTCGTGTCCAGGCTGCATGGAGAAGACAAAAAAATCGATATATTAAATCATCATGACCATCATCAGCCAAGATCAACCCACGAGCAGTCGCCACCTCTCCCACGGTCTCGCGACGTAACGATGGCCCTAACAGCTGCATGCGAGCTCACCTCGTCGTCCCACCTGCGTGGTGGACGCACCGTCGGGCTAAGTGTTATCTTTATCTCCCATTCCGTCACTGTTGTTGACCACAGGGCCATCGTCGCTTCCAGCGACGAGCCGTGCGCCCAAGCCAAATAACTCGTTGTCACCCGTTACACGTTGCACACGGCATAATAATACAACACAATGCCATCTTCTTTGGTTCTTTCGGTAAATTGTGACTTTACCGAAAGAACCAAAGAAGATGAATCCTTGCAGTCACGAAAGCTTTAAATCGAAACACAATGCCATTTCAATGTTCGGGAATATACGATACTTTTACACATTTACAATATTTGTCAAAATGTATGTCAATGTCCTAATGCAGGACTGGGATGTTTGCCTCAATAATTTTTTATAAAGGGTGACTGCCTTTCTTCGTGCCCGGAGAAAACCCACAGCACAAACGAGGGGATTGACACTCAAAGCTCCACAAACGAGTTCGCACTGCCACAGCAGATGGTACCGACAAAAGTGAAATATCTCTGGCGTGGGCTCACGGATGAAAATAAATGGGACAGCGTGTGTGGTCGGTGTCGGAGAGAGCGAGGCCCTACTCGAGTGAGCCGTGGGTCCTGGCGTGTGGCCGCACAGATGGGCGAGGTTCCTTGCTGTTCTCGAGCTCGCCCTGTGCCTTGCAGATAAAGGTGTCATAGGCCTGGGGGAGAGGAGAACGCAGACAGGACGCACACAGACACGCGACAACACAAGAACGTTCACGCAGGCACACGTAGGGATAGCGACGCACGCATCCGGCACACACGCACGCGTGCACACACACACAGAAAACACGCGGACAGATACACACGTGCAAAAGTATGCGCACGAAGGTAAGGACGTGCACACATAAGAGACACATAATTAGTCACATGCAAATGCGACGACGCACGTACGCAAACACAGATACAAAAACAAAATACCCCCGTGTAGCCTGCATAGACTGCTGAGGCAAGTACTGTCAGTGAGCACCAATGAAGGCCGACACAGCACACGCATAGCGACGCAAGCGTGCAAACACACACGCACAAAGGCAGACAGACACACATCGACACACGCAGAAGACAGCTCACTAGCACTGTGTCACGCGTCCATCAAATTGTTATTTATTTATTTAACGCAATGTACTTTATCGATCTCGATTACTTCATCACGTCGTGAGAATTTTATTGTTTTATGTTTTTATTATTTCATTGTTTCCCTTCTACGTGACTTTACCGAAAGAACCAAGAATATATATACTTTAACACAGTTAACAGATTCATGGACACTTTATGATTAATTTAATTTTCATTCAAATTTAGGTGCCCGACTGTTTGTATCACGACTGTACTGTTACAGCATCTGCACCGTCGCGGGAAGCCCACGGAATATGGAGCTGAACAGTTCTCCGAGCCCTTACTGCTGCGATAAATACAATCTATATCCATCCAATCTGTCCAAGTTGCATGCAATGATTCTTCGCGCACGATCGCGGGGGGGCCCCGCCGTTTTGCCTTTGGGCGAGCCGCGCGTCAAAGTTGCCGCTGCGAAGCCAACGTCACGCGGCGACAACGGAGGTCGGTGGCGGGCGACCGACGTCGTACATTCCATTTACTCCCGCGCCGAATGAACGGCGGGTGCATTTCATTAATTCACGAAATCACCTTAAATCCTGGCATCTAGGACACTTTTCACGTGAAAAGGACGAAAAAAGAAGACGCTTCTACAAAACGTGAAATGTTATGCCCGAGCTGAACAACAAAGCACTTGGAAGGGGCCCCCCGCAGGTTTTGTTATTTTCTGCTAAGCGCGATTGCATTGTGCTCTTATTTATTTTGTCAAACGGTTCAAGTTGTAGAATGCCGCGTATCTCGCATCCAACGTCCCTTTCGTTTAGTCACGAAGCGTGGGATTACAGAGCTGCACAATGAGCTGTGAAAGCGCATTAAAGCAATTACTGCTATGATAAAAATACTAAATGAAGTTCCAATTTTTGTATACGTTTATCTCTTTCCCCAATGTTATACCAATTGTGCTATCGGAGTTTGGTCGTGAGACTACACATCTGTTTGGACCCCTCACAGAGCAGGGCATCACCCTGTGTTAGAGAACGGTCTGTGGAAACGGATATCACAGCGCTACCGCTGAGATCCCTTAACGTGACCTTTTATCCACAGCATAGGGGGGGCAGCAGAAACGTTTGTCACGTGATGATCAAATCGATATTTTCAGAGCTGAAATCTAACTAAAATTAAGTCACAAACAAATTTTAAGATGGGTGTTTTTTGTACAACCATTGGTGGCTGGGCAGAGACCCTCAACTCGCTACACTTTGAGAATGCGGATAGACCACAGGCGGCTCGCCTCGATTCCAACACGGCCTTTCAATGGTGCCAGCTCCGCACTATAACCTTTTCTTTCAATTCAAATTGCGTTATTGTAACGATGCATGAACAACGTATAATTTACAAGCGTTGGGCCACCCGCCAGACCAGTTCTCCTCGCTTCAAAGTGCCAGAAAAAAAAACCCGGGGCGGACTTTACAGACAACGTCGGAGGCCGGGCTCCTTCTAACGATTGAGCCGCCCCCGGTGCCGGCAAGGTATCGACGGCTCCGAGTCTGACCTGAAGCTGGAGGCGCAGGCTGGACTCGTGGGCTCTGAGCCGCTCCCTGGCGCGGCGACGCTGCTCCTTCTGCAGCCGCTCCACCATCATCTTGCGGCGAGCCAGCTCATCGCGCAGCGCCACGATGCGCCCCTCCACCTCGCTGGAGCACTCCGACTCTGCGGACGAAGCCAACGGGGGGAGAGAGCGATCAGAGGTTTGGGTTGAGGGCGACGGTCGGAGAGGAACGTTAAGAGTGATGATACACCGCTGCGGGGGGTCTGTAAGATGAGTACCACTTTGCGGGGGAAGTCAACAGCAGTTGGAGATTTGTGCCCCCTGCCATACACATGTGGAATTCCCACCACAGGTTCAGGGCTGTAAAGAGCAGCTGAGCAAGACAGGCGATGACCAATAGAAGCACCATGGTGGAGACAAAGAGGCAGGCCGAGGGAAGCCGGTAGGAACGACTGCGGGTAGCGGACGCGGAGATGATGGCCTGGGACAGGTACGAGTGAGGAAAGAGGAGCAGGAAGACAGACGATTGGGGTGGAGGGAAGCCGGTAGGAAGAAGAAGAAGGAGGAGAGCGGTACTCACCGGACGCAGTCCTGATGGACAGGGACCATTCGGAGAGGTTGTCGGTCGCTCGCCAGGACTTGTCTCGGAGGTTGTCTCGCTCGGTGTCCGCGTTGGACACGGAGCGCACGGAGCTGTCCCTGGGCGTCAGCGTGGGGCTGCTGGAGACGGCAAGCAGGACTGCGCACGCACACAACGGACCAACACCGTTTCAATAACATTGGACAACTAAAGCCGGGCTTGAAAAGCACCACCACCGGGCTCATCTATTTGATTACATCTCTGAGCCGAGAGTAGAATGTCCACATTGCTCAGGCGGGGAAGAGTTTATTCCACGCTTGACTTCCCCACAAGGCAAACGTCTCAACACCATGGTTAACAACGTCCAAAAACTAATTCCTCTCGACAAATAGCGACGATGGAACACGCGCGCGTAGGGGGTTAAGAGCCCACCACAGCACTACAAACAGGAAGCTATGCTATAAAAACTAAACTATGTTTTATTCTACCAGGTAAGGCCCACAAAGCTACAGTGAGGGAAAAAAGTATTTGATCCCCTGCAGATTTTGTACGTTTGCCAACTGACAAAGAAATGATAAGTCAATAATATTAATGGTAGGTTTATTTGAACAGTGAGAGACAGAATAACAACAAAGAAATCCAGAAAAATGCATGTCAAAAATGTTATAAATTGATTTGCATTTTAATGAGGGAAATAAGTATTTGACCCCTCTGCAAAACATGACTTAGTACTTGGTGGCAAAACCCTTGTTGGCAATCACAGAGGTCAGACGTTTCTTGTAGTTGGCCACCAGGTTTGCACACATCTCAGGAGGGATTTTGTCCCACTCCTATTTGCAGATCTTCTCAAAGTCATTAAGGTTGAGGCTGACGTTTGGCAACTCGAACCTTCAGCTCCCTCCACAGATTATCTATGGGATTAAGGTCTGGAAACTGGCTAGGCCACTCCAGGACCTTAATGTGCTTCTTCTTGAGCCAATCCTTTGTTGCCTTGGCCATGTGTTTTGGGTCATTGCCATGCTGGGTTACCCATCCACGACCCATTTTCAATGCCCTGGCTGAGGGAAGGAGGTTCTCACCCAAGATTTGACGGTATATGGCCCCGTCCATCGTCCCTTTGATGCGGTGAAGTTGTCCTGTCCCCTTAGCAGAAAAACACCCCCAAAGCATAATGTTTCCACCTCCATGTTTGACGGTGGGGATGGTGTTCTTGGGGTCATAGGTAGCATTCCTCCTCCTCCAAACACGGCGAGTTGAGTTGTTGCCAAAGTGCTCCATTTTGGTCTCATCTGACCACAACACTTTCACCCTGTTGTCCTCTGAATCATTCAGATGTTCATTGGCAAACTTCAGATGGGCATGTATATGTTCCTTCATTGAGCAGGGGGACCTTGCGGGTGCTGCAGGATTTCAGTACTTCATGGCGTAGTGGGTTACCAATTGTTTTCTTGGTGACTATGGTCCCAGCTGCCTTGAGATCATTGACAAGATACTCCCGTGTAGTTCTGGGCTGATTCCTCACCGTTCTCATGATCATTGCAACTCCACGAGGTGAGATCTTGCATGGAGCCCCAGGCCGAGGGAGATTGACAGTTCTTTTGTGTTTCTTCCATTTGCGAATAATCGCACCAACTGTTGTCAGCTTCTCACCAAGCTGCTTGGCAATGGTCTTGTAGCCCATTCCAGCCTTGTGTAGGTCTACAATCTTGTCCCTGACATCCTTGGAGAACTCTTTGGTCTTGGCCATGGTGGAGAGTTTGGAATCTGATTGATTGACTGTTTCTGTGGACAGGTGCCTTTTATACAGGTAACAAGCTGAGATTAGGAGCACTCCCTTTAAGAGTGTGCTCCTAATCTCAGCTCGTTACCTGTATAAAAGACACCTGGGAGCCAGAAATCTTTCTAATTGAGAGGGGGTCAAATACTTATTTCCCTCATTAAAATGCAAATCAATTTATAACATTTTTGACATGTGTTTTTCTGGATTTTTTTGTTGTTGTTATTCTGTCTCTCACTGTTCAAATAAACCTACCATTAAAATTATAGACTGATCATTTATTTGTCAGTGGGAAAACGTACAAAATCAGCAGAGGATCAAATACTTTTTTCCCTCACTGCATTTAGTTATTTTTCACAAGCGACCTGGCCGCAAATGATCGTGTAACAAAGTGGCTTATCGTCCGGAAATTTACATCAGCCAAATACTCTAAACACATGTTTCTGAATATGGAGGCAATATCGGAGGGTCCCAGAGAAAAATGCACGCGACCACGGCCACGGGGAGAGAGACGTCCAAACTCCAAATATACAGGCGTCAGGGTCGGGATCGAACCCACGATCTACTGTACACCAGGTCAAGGTCGTTAACACCATGGCGCCGAAGCCGGCGCCGGCGCCGGCCGTAACCCCCGGTGACTGCCCACCGCCACTCACCTTCGCGCTGCGAACTCGGCGGCGTGGCGCCCAGCGGCGCCCTCAGCCGCCCATTCTGGCGCCCGCGGTCGTCGCGCCGCGCCTGCACCGCCATCCGCTCGATGTTGCGCACCTCCTCCTCCTCCGTGTCCAGCCGTTGCTTCCACAGCAGCAGCTCCTTGGCACGGCGCCGGCGCTCGCGCAGACGCTGCTCCCGCTTTGTCAGGTACCTGGGGTGGCAGTGACAGCGGATCGAAGATGGTACACCTACTTGCTCAGAATGATATATGTTATAAAAAAAAAAATTGGAAATGTTGATTGTTTCACGTTCCCTTCATATCAGTAATCGACATCAACAACCAGGTTCTCAAGTGTAGCGAGTAGATGGTCTCAGTCCGGGCACCAATTAAAATACTTAGTGTGCATAAAACCAAGATCATCTTGATCACTAGGAACACAGATTTTACACAGCCTGCACAGTTTTTGTCCAATGGCGACATCTATGGAAAAAAATAACTAATTGAAAAATTCAATTGAATAATTTTAGTGTGCACCATTATTGGTGAATGGGCTTATACCCAGATTCATCACGACTGGCTGTATTCTGGCTTCGAACCCATGATCTCAGCCATTCTTGCTCACTGTCTGTGAACTGTCTCAGCCACCCGGGCCACCTCGATTTTGATGATATTTTATAAACATTTATTCGAGCATTAGCCGTGCCGCACGATAACTCATGGCTGGTAACAAATTCCACATTAAATCACACGCCGCGTTAGTGGCAACGCGTTCCTTTGAGGGGTTAATCGCGAATGTTAAAGAGTGACCCCCGCGGCAAAAAAGCAATGCCGTTAAGGGGGCCGCCCGTTAAACAATGACGCGATCAATCGGGTTAATAACTGCGGAGCGGCGTGAGCGATCCACCGCTGACCACGTGAAAAAAAAAATATATAACATCCGGTGTTGAAGTATCAGGCAGCCAAGAGTGGTAATTCATTCACAAATTGTAAAAAAAAAACTCATAGTCAGTGCAATTCAATTTAGTGAGCGACGGCGCTTTATACAATAAGATCATGTACGCACGCACCAGCAGCCCGGCGAGCACCGTTCGCTACTCTCACATAGGCGGGGCCCGCTAAAAGATTTGATTTTAATGCCAGGGGGTATTGAAATGCCTCGCGCGGTGATATCTTTCCTGACGTTTCAGCGGAGATGCTCTACTAAAAAGCGAAATATCAGCACAAACGACCTCGGCGTGGCAGTAAGTACGTGCGTACGTACGTGCGTGCATAAAAAAATATATATTAATAACGGTCATTGGACCTTCGTCCGCCGCTACGCGCGTCTTCCAAAAACACACGCAGCTGGCTAAAGAGTAAGAAAAAAATCGAACGCTGGCAAACTCCGTCACACAGTGCGGCAACGCAGAAGGTAAAAGTGGAATTGAAGACACATCGCGAATGTGTGCGCAGGTTTTAACTGGGAAACAAAACTCGCTCCAGTCGAGTAAAATCGTACCACAATCAGGCTGGATCTAAACACCGCGTTCGTGCGCACGCAGGCAGGCAGGCAGACAAAGAATGATCACGCCCCGCGTGCCCCGCGTGTCGTTACAAGTTACCGGGTGATTTGAGAATAAAAAGAAAATGCAGAAGCAGCAACACCAAACAATGACCGCAGAGATCTATTGATCGACGACCAACTCTCGCATCGCTCCTAATGGACCTCCGTCTTTCGTGCAACACGGGCTAGGAATGACTCCATCCTAACCCACGTTCAATTGAGCCTCTGGAACCATCTGTCATCCAAAAGCTGCGGTGTGCACAGTAGCATTACCTTCATCTTTTCACAGATGCTCTTCAGATCATAAAAAAATTAAATCATGGCAAACCTTCAAAGTGGCAAATTACTCGAGCAGAAGCCTAACAGCGATGATGATGATGATGATGCCACAGCTTACAATCAGGTGGGCCATTAAAAATACGCAACTTGGCTTTCAGGCTACCGATGGTCACATTTACAGGCCAAGGCTGACCAGCTGATCGGATAACGCAACTGCCAGCCCACTTGCGCCACTCAGCCGCCATGATGTGGGCTGACGCTACCCCACCTACCGGAGGAACTGACGGTGCGCACCGTAAGACAAATCTTCTTGGAAGAATAAGAACGTTTCCGCGAACAGGTTCGCTAGTGGCCAATATTCCTCCTGTGGCCTCTTTACGTCCGGCTTCCCCAACGGTCAGGGAAAGCTGTGAACTGCTGCTGTGTGCATCAATTGGCGTCTAAAATACCCCACTTATAAATAGTTGCAGAGAAAGGTAATACTCGGTGTCCACTTCCTTATGGAAGCGGTACTGTACATGGCCACGTATATGCATAAAAATCATCGGAGGCCGGGTGGCTCAAAGAGGTCAGAGGGGACCGAGCCGGCAATACTGAGATCACGGGCTTGAATCTGGGTTTGAGCCTCCTGTGATTAAGTGGGCTCGGAAGGGGAGTGCGGTTCAAGTTTATTTTGTTGAAACTGGGTGAGGATCGTGAAGATTTTAAAATTTTAAGTCTCAGCCCGGTCACCGATGACTGCACACAAAAAACCATCATATCATAATTGTGTGGTTTTTCACTTAATATGCATGCAAACGCGAAAAAAACTCATCACTTCGTCATTATCAACGTCTATCAACACGTAGATGTGCGACTGGCTGACATTTCTAGAAATGGCCCTTTTTCAGAGCGTAAAAGGAGAAGGTCGCAGAGACAGAAAGCGTTACACCCGCGTGTGGCGAGAGATTCGGTAGGGCCCGTCTCTGCTAGCGGTTGGTGATGGTGATGGGGGAGTTGCTGGCGCTGTACCTTTGCAGCTGCATGTGGATGTACTGCCCCAGTTTGGGCTGTAGTCTAGGGAAACAGAGCGCAAGGGCTGCCCAGTGGTAAGCGGTGAAGACGGAAAAGAAACAGTGCACGGGCGAGCAGAGGCTACGGAAGAGGACGGGAAGGAGGAGGGAGGAGGAGGAAGAGGAGGAGGAAGAGGAGGAAAAAGAAGAGAAGGATCAGGAACACAAGGACACAAACGCAAAGAGGAAAAACAACAAATACGGGGAAAAACTTAGTTTACTACTGCGCAAAGCGACTCGCAAAACGGAATGAAGAGGAGCAGAAACAAACTCATGGGTCTTTATCATGACAATTCATGTTTTGCGAGTATTCTGGAGAGAGAAATGCCGGCCTAAGATAACGCACAAAGGGATTGCGCAGGAGACTGGTGAAAATAACGAATATGAGAGTGACGGTGGTAAAAATTACGACCGTGGTGAAAATAATGAGGATAATGATAGTGATGTGAGAATGCTGAAGGTACTAGTTACAATGACCCTGACGACGAGAGTGACAATGATGATGATGATGGTGACACGGTGATGACGATGGTGACACGGTGATGACGATGATGGTGACAATCGCAACGACGAAAACAACTATAACACGATCGACAATTCAGCACCAGCGTCAACACCGCCGCTCCCGCAGTCCAACAAGACGACCGTCCCACCAATGGCCACGGGCCTCACCTCTCATCGAGTCGGCCCTGGAACTTCTTCAGCTTGTCCAGGATGCTGCTGCTGCTGCAGCGGCTGCTGCTGTCGCTGTCGCTGCCCGGTGTCCGCGCCCTCTGCTCCGAACCCTTCTTGCCGGCGCCCTTCCCACCGGCGGACGAGCTTGCTGGCGCAGCGGCGGCAGCCTCTGGCGCCGGGACGTCCGCGAGCCTCGCGGCCCCGTGCCGCCGTGGGCTGCGGAACTCCTCCAGTGTCATGGGCACGGAAGGCGTCGGGCTGCGAGGGGCAGCGGCATACGTGGTGGTGGTGGCGTTGGTGGAGGTGACAGCTGGCGCGGCATCGCGGGGTGGAGTGCCAGGCGGCGGTGCTGCAGGGCTGCTGCTGGTGCCCACGTCCGCGCTGAAGCGCAGGCGCCGACAAGAGAGCCGAGTTAAACGTACGACTCGACAAATGCAAATACGCTTGCGGTGCTGTCGCGGTGTCAATTTAGACAAAAATGGCTTTCGTTCAGAGCCGTCATCCACTCACCCGCTGGGCCGCTCCTCTGCGCGCAGCCTCCGCAGGAACTCCGAGTCCCGGTGCCGGCGCTCGTCCAACAGATCCGTGACGGCTGCCCCAGGCTCGTGGGGGTCTACCGTGCCGGTGGGGGTCTCATGCGACCCGGCGGATCCGGTGAGAACCGTGGTGTAGGTGATCCCGTCTGCCCAGAAGAACAGCCCCACGGTGTCAACAACAATAAGTTTCAGTTCGTGAGCAAGATCCGGACAAACCACACGAGTGGAAAAAAAACTACGGCCACGAACATCAAACCAGGCAACACAGAGGACATCGTACTGCCCCCAAAAATAAATTTGAAAGCAGTGGGGGAGGTGAGTGAGTGGGTGATGAGTGTATCTGCAATTCACCAACTGTCAGCAACAAAGCAATTGAATGGCTAAATCAGACAGAACAATCTCTCAGATTGCTCTTCACTGACCGTACGAAATCATCATGAACAATCGTCTAAGCCCATGACCTAATCACCCAGAATTCTCCGACAGTTGTCAGACCTCGGAAGCTAAGCAGGAGTGTGGACTGTGCTTGGATGGGTGACCACTGTGCATAAAACAAAGTGTTGTTGTAGCGGCTATGTTGTGAGCGGAGGGGGTATTTAATCAACATCCGTTGTTCTACACTCTACTAGGTTCCAACATTTTCGCTGCCCTTCTTCATCAACTGGCACTGACCAGTGTCAAAGGAGCAGCATGACTCGCACTCCGTCCATGTGAGGGTGCGAGGGTGTGAAGGTGAGAGGCCGTGTGTGAGTGTCAGCTGATGTGCTGCAGGGTGAATACGTTTCATTCCGGCACTTCCACATTTAAATTTTGACTGCTGGTCATAGGCAAAAAAAAGACAAAAATCCCCCATATAGCCTGTAACAGACTGTTGGGGCAAGTGCTGTTAGCGAGCACCTATGAAGGTCAGGACGGCACACGAGGGGGTGGGTGGCCAATACCACGCCCGACCACCTTTGTCATCCCAGTGGCGATATTTACACACCGCACCAGTTACTCATTTGAGGGCGAGTCGACCAAGGGGAGGCCTAGGAACAATTCAGATAATAGTCACTGATGTTGGCCGGGCCAGGAATCGAACTCAGGTTCGCCGGGTTCGTAGCGCAGCCCGCTAACTGCTACACTAACGCTCCCCCCACCGCGCGCACACACACACAACAATAAATGCACCTCAATCACACGCCCATATATGTGCATTCAACGCATATTTAGCAACGAAAATTTGTTTCAAGAGCTCACCCAGAGATAAAAACTGATTACATTATGCGGGTCGTTCGCCACGTAATTTATTCCCTAACGAGCTGGTGGCATCAGCTCCCTAGCTATGTAAATTTTACTTTAATTATGTTGTTCTTCCGAGCCTCACACAATAAAAAGGACCCATACTTCATGAATTCCACATGTAATTACCGCCGGCCAACTAAAAAAAAACTTGAGAAGGCATTTGCGACGAGTGCGAATGGCCATAAATCTGCCGGTGGCTATTTAAAAGTGGGCGCGAACCTATAAATTTCGCTAGAGGGAGACGCACTGTATGTGCAGGACTCATCATGTGCTGTATTTTGCACGCAAAAAAACGTCCCAATCATCACCGTTACACAAATCATCAATGGGCGGCGGTGTGCGCACGCGCGTTTTAGCGGGAGCTTAGTCGTACGTGCATTGCGCTACAAACCCGCCGACCTCAGTTGGATCATCGCTCACGGCCAGTGACGAATTATCTGAACCAGTTCTGTGCCTCCACGAGGTCGACTCAGCCTTAAAGGCAAAGCTGGTGCGGTGTGTAAACATTAGCACGAGGGAGACAAAGGCAGTTTGGCAAGGTGTTGGCCACCTACCCCCTTGTGTGCTGTGCCGGCCTTCATAGGTGTTCTCTAGCACACACTTGCCCCAACTGTCTGTTAAAGGCTATATGGGGGATCTTTGGCTTTTGTTTGAATTATTGGTGGATCGTTGCAATGACTCGTCGATTAAAATATAGATTTTTGAGCAAGCACAAACATGCATCGAATTCTATAGTTTAGAATGAATTTTGTTGTTGTTTTTACAATCGGTGTACGTTATATGCAATGGGTTCACTTCACCGGGAAAGCCACTCGAGGCGCTACCATCAACTGCAATGTAAAAAGAAAAGATTCTGGAAACGGCGACCGTGAATCCTGACAAATAGTGGTATCACCGAACCACTACATACGTTTTGAAACTCCAATACAGAAAGCAGCACCACATCACGTCATATCACATAAGTGCTGAAGGGTCTTCGCCCTGTTTGGACATCGGGCGCAGTTGTCAGAAGTAGCTCTGCGATATACCCTTGTGCGTGGGGGCCGAGTGACGTTCATCGCATCCCAATGTGGGCTTCCCTTTCTCTTTGACAGGCACGATTGGCGAAGTGTGGCGTGAACGCGGAGACTAATTCGGTGCGTCCTGTACGCAATTATGTGACGGGAAAAAATGCAATGTAATCGAGCGTACGCGCGTGCACACTCACCGTCGGCACCCTCCCTCGATCCGTTCGACAGGGACTTGTGTGACGACGACGAGGCTGGGGACAGCGACGAGAGCGACGTCGTCGTCGCGCAAGGCGACCGCCGCCCGGACGTCGGAGATGCCGGACTCACGCCGACCTCAATATCGCGCGACCTCCGCTCGCCGGGGGTCGCGAGGTCGGTGGGTCGTAGCCGGTGCTCGTTCCTGCGTGGAAAATTAGGGGGTTAGGAGGTAGCGAGGGGATGAGAAAGCGTCTCATCGCTGGTTGTTGGTCGTCGTCATTAAAAACGCCGTCGCGACACGGTGAGCGAGATCGCGACATGCGACCTCTGCCCCACGCCGGTCACAAGGTCGTGAAAAAGTTAACACGTTGAGGACACACAGCTACGTTGAATAGCGAGATTCTGGAAACAGTAACTCACGATAGAGAATATACATAAAAACACGGTGGATTTTATTCAGAGCGAATAATTTCACATCACGCAGGAGGTCAGACTGTCTCTCAGATGAAGAGGAAGGGTCAAGACGTCACACACTGGAAGAAGTCAAAACGACGATGTGGGAGGTGGGGGGGGTGAGTAGGGGGGTGAGAAAGCGTCGGCAATCGCCGTCCATAAAAGGCGGACCCTGATGTGCCGCGCAAGAAGGGAACGCGCACGCACGCCCTTTGAACCATGAACATTGCAAAAAAAATTCAAGTTGAAGTTAAAGTGGGAGGGGGGTGGGAGGGTTGTGCAGTGGCGTTGTCGCCGTTGCGAGACGTGATTTAATAGTGAGGCTAAATCAGACGCAGCCACAAAGGACAGGGGCTTTAAAACACCAGGAGGCACTGTACACCCAGTGACGGATCCATTACTGGGTTGGGCAAGGAAAAAAACGGGAGCTAAAAGCCGGCGCGCCGCTCGAAAGAGCTACAGTTTTCATTGACGGGGACGATGACCCATCTATTTTTTTTCTGCTCTGCCCCTTTTGAAACGTCTCGGTGGCACTCACGAAGATGGACCTGCTCAGTTCGTTTTGAAAAATAGCGAGGCCGACCGACGCTACACCCACCACCCCCCTTTGCCGGCGGGTGGCGGGTTGGTGGGGAGGGGGGTCGGCGGGACGATAATAAAACGGACCCAACAACGAGAAATTTTCGCCGGCGTATGATTTTCACGGAGTATCTCTGCGGCACGACGACGTGTTTGCCGGTACAAAGAAAAATAAATGAGCTCTCCGCTCTGAAAATCCCTGCCCATTCCACACGGGAACAAAACAAAAAGGCAAAGATTTGTTTTCATAGGCGTTCCACCTAAGGTTGAAAGCTTGAACGCACTGAGCTCCATTAGCGTGTCCCTCCGTGACGTGGCGTCACGATAACTCTCGTAAAGGTGATCCAATGTGAACACTCGATGGTAAAACCGAGGACTAAAAGCAAAACCCTTGGCGGCCAAGGCGATGAAGTCATTATGCGCAACGTCATCTTGCGACAGTGCCCATCGCACGCCGCATAACAATCATCGTACGGTGCGAAAGAGGTTCAACATGCATACACCTCGCTGCACTGCTTGAAAGTATCGCTACTATCATGAATTAAATACCTCTGCACGCTGCGCAGCGTTCGAGAATGCATGCAAACGCACGATTTCTCTTCCGTGTTTGCTACGTCCATGCCTCCAGAAACCACTTAAAACTGGCCGAGCAATTCTAAAGAGAGCCATCGCCAGATTGTAAACACTAACGGGGGGGAGAGGGGTGGCGTGGAGAGGGCACGGCGATCGCTTCAACTTCCTTTTCAAGCTGTCGTGCCTTCGTTTCTGATTAAATGCAGTCGTTTATTCGCAGAGGGCCACCATTTGTTGCTATTATTGACCGTCCCGGCACTTCGCGTCAAATTAGAGGCCCCCCTTTTAAACGTCTCTCTATCCGCTATCGCCCCTCGCAGTGTTCCGCTCTCAGCCGGACCCTGCAACCAATCCGACCGTTTAGCGGCAGGAAATAAGATCGCCGTGTGCCGGAAGGCCAATGAAATCGGCATCAAACACGAAGAGTCGAAAGTGATTTCCTGCTCAAGTGAGTGTTGAGCCACCTTCCGTTTACAGCCCTAAGCCAGTGGTATAAATTATGCATTCCTATGGCAGCGGTGAGTCTATCCACAGGACAACCACAGTTGACTTCCCCCCACAAAGAGGTACTTGTTTTATGAACCCTGGAGGAATGATGGGCTGTGTCAACTCCCAACCAAGATATGATTGCAAGCCGCTGAGCCACCTGGAAAAATCTAGATAACATGTTGTGATTGTGGTCTTGGGTATGGAGACCGAACGGATTTTTTTTATTTTAATTTATTTTCTCTGCGATTATTTTTTTCTTGTTATGTATATCTTTTTTCTCGTTATTTTCGAATTTTTTTTTTTATTTGGTAAGTAGTGGGGTTTTGCTTTTGTATCATCTAAGTATGGAAATGGATAATTCATGTGCAGCGTTGTCAGATGCAATTGCATAAATGATGCTATATAAAATGAAATTATTATAAAAATTAATATTAAGTGCCTTTGTCATTTCCAGTGCCTATTGGAAAAACAATGTCACATATGCAGGAAAGCGTCACCGAACCTCAAGACTCCTTTTCAGGAAGCTCCTGCTACATTTGGATGTTTGCGCAATACCAATCGAGGGAATTTGGCTTCCCATTGTGGGAGGAAACCGGATCCCCTAGAACACGCACCAAGCATACATACGAGGCGGTGACACTCAGAAAGCTCCTCAAAGATGGATTCAAGAAACCACTTTGCAGTCTCGCATCTAAGTATGAACTTGTCCCCATCCTGCTTAGTTTACAATGACATTGGGGCATGCAGTCAGGGTGATTTGGTCAGAGGCAATTAAAGATTATTATAAGAATATAAAAAGCTGACATTCCATCAACACCCATTTCCTCAAAGATCAGCTGTAAACAGCATCCATACTTCTCATTCAACACTGCAGAGGACAAGCGCACGCTGGAAAGCGTCACAATCCATGACAACGCAGCATGACCTTTCCCCGACTTGTTATTTTGATTCAAGGGCTGACATCTACGTTAGCGTAATGGGCAAAGCTGTGTCAATAAAAAACATGAGAAACAATATGAGACTGTGAAAACGGGCCACAACACAACGTCCCCTTTGTTTGTTTTCCTCTCCCTGTGACTGGCCGCATCATTCTCTTTCTGAAATAAATATGGCCACTGCGAGATGAAGTTCCATTGAAATGCCATTATAAAACTACACTCTCCTTGCAAGGCCTCTCACAGAGATCCAGAGATTTACAGGTTCCCATTGGCCAATATAGAGACCCACAGACTCACATATGGATCTATGGCTGACCGCTTCTCTCCATAAAATAAATACACCCACTGTTTTTGTACAGTGTCTTGAGACACGGTCACATTTAGATGCCGCCATGTAAAATCCACATTGGAATGTAATGTCGCGCGACTCAGAAGCGTGACAATTCAAGCGAATTTCTGCGTGGAGGGCGAAATGTTTCGCGTCTGGCTTCAACTCTGCTGAGCGTCGCACTATTCCGTCTTGCGAGGGGCAGGAAGCACGGAGGTCATATCTGGCCAAAGCGGTGCAGGAAATGGATTATTGTGAGCTGGGTGTTGCCTTCCTGCAAGCTAACCGTGCCCTCTAGTGGCCTCCCAAACGACGCACACACGAGCGATCGAGCGAGTGAACAATCGGGCAGCGAGGTCAAATGCCGTGTTAAAATAAATGACGACTAAATCACCCTTAATGCGCCCCCCACCCCCATCTCGGCGGATGTCAGAAGCTAAGTGGGGTTTAGCCAGGTTAGTGCTTGGATGGGTGACCCTGCACCAGGGCTTGACACACGTTGTAGGATTCAGTGCTGCAGGGAGTTGAGTGTCGCCCCACCGGGTCGGCGTGATGGCTTTTCTCCGGTTTCCTCTCATGTGAAAAAAATATAATTAAATCCAGCCAAACATCCAAATGTAGTCTTGAGACTCGATGAGACTTTCCTGGGTGATAAATATAAATGCAAGAAATAGGCAGTAAACGATTCCCCATCCCACCAAAGTAAATTAAATGTTATGGATCAGGATAATGATTCGATAAAAAAAAAATCTATATTTTTTTCTGTCTCATGTGTACTCTCCGTGCCGTACATTTTGTCCTTTTTGCACATTCTCATTGGTACTGTCCGTCTATGTTCCGCCTCCATTGTACCGTCCAGCTATGTTCCGTCCTATTTATTTGGATGCATGGAACGCGAGCAGACGATCCGATCGCAATCAACAAATCAAACAGCCGCCGCAGCCGTCCCCAAAGCGGCCCTCACTCGCGAGCCATCGCGTAAAACAAAACGGGCGGCAAAGGGAAGGGGTGCTCTCCCCCTCCGACGCAAACCGTCGGAAAGGGTCCGCGGCTCAACGTATGCACGGCGCACGAAAGGGAAGCCACTCACTTGGGTCCTGCGCCTTCTGCGCTGTGTATCTGGCCCACGAGCCGCTCCGTTTTTTTCCGCGCCGGCGTCGCGTGTCGGGCCGCTGCCGCCGCCTCCTCGTGCCGCCGCATCGCGCCAGCGGAGACGACGGCGACTGCGCCGTCGCCCGGCGGCTCCTCTGCGGGCGCTGGCGATGTCGACGCGCTCGGCGAAAACTTGTGCGGCGAGAGACTTTGCGGCGAGAGCTTCCGCTTCTGCGATCGCAGCTTTTCGACGGACCTGCCGACGGCGTCGAGGGCGTGCAGGTACGAGTCTTCTCGCGGGGAACGCCCGGCGGCGTCCGCCTCGTTCCTTCCCGAGCCCCGCGGCGGCACCGGCGACACCCGCTCCTCCCACGCCGATTTCCGCGAGCCCGAACCTTTGCCGAGGATCCTCTCCAACTTCCGCATCAACTCGTTTTCTCCCCGCGAGGTCTCGCACTCGGCCTCAGGCCCGGGATCGTAGTTCGTTCTGGGGTCGAAATTCTTCGGCGGGCGGTAGGAGTGCCCGTCGAGCCGACCGGCGCCGTGGCAAAACTCGTCAGGTGCCTCAGCGTCGCCACGCCGGTGGCTGCCACCGCCGCTCTCACCGCTCCTGCCTCCGCCACCACCGGCCACTACGGTCCGTGCCAGCGTCTGGGCCTCCTCCTCGAGCCGGCTCGCCAGTCGGGCCGCCGTCACCTTGAGCGCCTCGATGCGATCCACCTTCCTCCTCCTTCGAGTGGCGTCGTCGTCGTTGTGCGCGACGAGGTGGCGTGCCGTCGAGTCGAATGCGCGCCGTCCGCGGGACGGAAGGCCCAGGAAGAAATCCGAGTCGGGGCTCGACGCCCCCACGAGGCTGGGCGGGGACGGGTTGTCCAGTCTCGATCCGCAGCTGCAGGAAGGATGCTCCGCCGGATCGGACGACCTCCAGCCGTACGGCTGAGGGGGGAGTTCCTGGTCGCGGTGGTCCGGCGACGAGGCTGGGGCGCTCGCGGTGGTGATACCCGTTACCTGGCCATTGTTCAGGAAGTTGACAGCATTCGCTGGGCCGGGGAAGCGGAATCCCCAGTTCTCTTTGTTAGACTCGCCGGACGGTTGAGCCAACTTGCGGTACTGGGTCTAGGGTAGGAGAAGACAAAAGGACAAACGTGAGGGTTAGGAGGTGGCCAAAACAATTGTGCACAGAGAACATATGTAACCAAGAGAGATAATATTGGAAAGTGGGACAGGGCAGAAGAAGGGATGATGGCTGCCAGTGGAGACTAACGATGGAGTGGCAGCCAAAAGTGCGTCCAAGAGGACATTCACCATACTAAAGGGCTGCTGATGATCATCATGATACTGCTGATGATGCTATTGCTTCCGCTGCTGCCAATGCTACCACGACGGCCATTCCGACAAGGCCAAATAAGTCACCTGCGTGACCCCTGTCCGTCCCAGCATCTCGAGGCGGTGACGATCCTCGTCCCAGAAACCGCCACCGCCGCCACCACCGTCCACCCCCCACTGCTGTCCCGAGGAGGCGTGGTGGTGGTGGTGCGGCGCGTGCAGATGTGCCAGCTCCCCTCGCTGTTCCGGCGCCCGTCGCAACACACGCTTCTCCTCCGCGCGCCGCTTGTGCCGGTCCGGCAGCTGCCGACCTTCGGCACCCTGTGGCACCGTGGCATCGGTGTAACCGGCGGTAGGGGTCCACCCGGCGTCGCGAGCCTCCTGTGCACCGTCCCAATCGAGCCGTCTCGACGGCGCGCCCTTGGTTGTCCGCTGTAATAAGCCACGTCAGCGCTCAGATCAGTGCTGGTCAAATGACCCTGGAAATATTTCTGTATTAATTTCTTTTGTGTTTGCCAAATTGAATGGATGTTTTTTTTGTAATTGGCAAAAGGGGGGGGAGACAATCAAATTGCTAAGCTTGAGAAACCAGTTTAATCGCAGGCGGATGAAACCAGAATTAAAACCCAGAATCTTAAGAGGCACAGGCTAAATGCTCTCACTCCTGAGCCATCCGGCCACCTCTTTTCTGTACAATATATAATATCAACACAATAGTAATTTACACGTCTTTTGGCAATCCAATCCACTGCTGGATTAAGGCCCCCCAACACCAATATCAGTCATGGGTGTTGTATGGATGTATGTTGAATTTCTTTCACACCGTACATAGCCAACCGTGCTCATCGGAGGTTAGAACGGTTAGACACGCTGGCTAGCATGCGTCAGTGAAGGAAAAAAAGCAATCGCACCAGGAGCGCATCAGATATCACTCATGACTGAGCCTTGGCGGTGATTCAAACTCAAGCCACGACGAGTTCATGGCAGTGTGGCTCAGCACAGCCCCTTTGACCCCCCAGAAATTACAGCGAAGAGGAAAGACAACGATTATATTCCAAACTTAACAGAGAACATGCAGTCGTCATGAACCATGTGACAACGCGCGCGGAAAAACACCCCTTGTGATCTCTCGCAGCGGTTTTCGGGAAGAGAGGAACGTTTTGAGTTTTATATTTTTTTGCACGAGAAAATCCCCGTCGTGATTAATGCGGTTGTACGACCCCCGTGACAAAAGCACGTTGCTCAATCTCGTGATAATGCCCGGGTTCTTGGCACCGAACCCCACGGTTCTCTCCAAATGTTCTTTCAATTTGCATGAAGAACTCAATGTAATGTGATACACACACACACACACACGCCGGTGTAAGCATGCACTACACAAGCACACGGACATGCTTGGACGCACACGGATGTCCTCATATGCAGACAAATGCGCACTCATAAACATAGACAAAGACAAATATCCCCCGTATAGTCGCAAGTGTTGTTAGCGAGCACTCGCACACACACACACACACGGGCGAATGTAGACAAACAATAACAAAGATCTTCTGTTCTACAACATCAAGTGTGATCGGATGGCAGAATGAAAACTCCTTCGTGGAAATTCCATCCACTGCTGGATGAAGACCTCAGCATGCCGTGTCAGTTATGGGGCTTATTTGATCAGAGTTCACCAAACGGCGCAGTGCGAGCTGGCGAACAGGGTGGAAGGCCAGGACCGGTGCTGATACCAACTCGCCACCAATGTTATCCGTGGCTGTAAATTAAACCCTGGGTCACCAAATTTATAGTGCAGTGTGCCAACCACTATGTCACCCCCAACCCTGCTAAAAAAAATAATAGAGCAACCAACAACGAACCTTCTCCTCTTACCACCCACTCATGTACTCACCAGCTCTCCACTCTTCCCTTCACGTTTACAGACGACACAATGTGTTTAAATGTATATTGTTATATTTGTTTGCATCTTTCTCCGACTGTGCCCTTGGAGCGTGCCATGCATTCTAATGTTGAACAAAAAACTTAACAACTGAGCAGCAGTTACCGTTCGCATGGCGGTGGGGGCTGTGGCGGAAATGGCAGCGACAGGATGCTTTTCGAATGCCCCGATGCAAGCGTCCAGCTGCAGATCGTCGAGGATGCCCTGCACCTCCTCCGAGAGGAGCTGCACACTCAGCTCCGCAGCCCTGATGGGGTCACCGGGGTCGCCGGGGTGGCCGACCCCGCCGACCTCACGTGTACGGTCGGTCGCTGCCCACGCCGGACGGGGTCCTGGTCCGAGTCAGGAACGTCGGATGCGGGAGGGAGCGGGTCACACACACAGAGAGAAATGGAGCTGTGGCACTTCGTCGAGGATTGTGTCACTGTGTCAAACTCAGGCATAAGTCTATCACCTTGCCCGACTCGCCTTCTGACATCTATTGCATTACTTTCTTGACGTGATCTAAATGTGGCCATTCCATTTTTGTAAATGGTTATTCTTATTATCATTTTCTAAAAACAGAAAGCATCCAGACAGCTTGAATGATGGAATACATTTCCACATTGACTCATATGTTTTAATCGAAACGTTGGGAGGCAGAACCCCTGAGTAATAACTCGTCGTAGTATTTTTAACGCACTGGGTCAAGGGGCCTAATTTCAACTGGGTCTGTACGAGGTCAGGGATATGGAAAATGTATCCGCAACGGGCACACCACATCCAGTAGAGCTCTCGCTATGCCAGTGGCTACACCTCATGTGCCACCTCCGATCTACCAGCTACACGATATTCAGTGAGAAATTAAGCCAGTGGTCAGACACCTGATCATTCTTTTATCACTATTACCAAGGGCTACTGCTTCCAATGAATTTAATTAATTGATTCCGCCACCTGTGTTGAGGACTCGGTCTACCAGACTGACCGTTTTGTCGCATCCACACTGTGTTCGACCACAACAACACAAGCCACAACAACACACACTCACCCCAATCGCTCACACAACCACTCAACCACCACACTGCAGGTCACAACACTTCTCTTTCTGCTTGTTTCCTCGTGCTGCTCAACTTTGGAATTCCCTCGCCATTGTCTCTATTTCCAAGCTCTTATATAACACAGCTCAATTCAAGAAACCCAAATAAAACTACAACTTTAACAGTGCTGTTTTTATATCCGGCAGTGGGACGCTGTGGGCCACTGGACCTGTGCTCAGCAACTGTTTGGGAAGGGAAAAAAAATCCTTGAACTGGAAAAGCTCTTCCATACAAAGAGTGTGGAAGAGCCATTCAAAAATCCCTGCACCTGTGCGGTTGACTCAAAACTTACGTTGTGACGCGAAAACATTAAACCGGCAACGGCCCGCGTCTCGATCCACGTCCGCTGGGCGCGATTTACCAACTACGAAAATACCAAAACTCTCAGCCACAGGAAACCCAGGGCAGGGGGAGGGAGGGTGTTGGGTGGGGGGAGTGCAACGCAGTCGGCCGTCATGCACACAGGAGCCCCCGGGATAATAGAAGGGCGCAGCTGCGACAGGTGCTGCGCACACGGAGAGTTGGCGCCCCGGGAACGACGTCGCAGGCGCAAGAGAGCGCGGTATCATTGTCGCTGCCGCCGTCGCCGTCGTATTAACGCGGACAGATGACGGAAAACATTTAAATTGAGTTCCCGTAAAGTGACACGGTAACGAAAGCGTTGCCAAAACACAAAACCAGTTCTTAAAAAAGCGTACACAAGAATGCTGTTTTTTTAAATTTATACATTCTGCAAGGGCATTACTTGAACAGTATTTCCTGCAGATGATAATTGGGGAGGCCTCCATCCAGCAGTGGATTGACCACGGCTGGTAATGTTGATGCTAATGAATAAATAATGAATATATGCACAGCAGTAAGTATAGAGGTTATTTTAATGTCAAGATGACAGCACGATAATTCGCTCATGTATTATACACATGGCCTTAAATAGGCATCAGCTGAAAGTGTGGCCTGTTTCTGAATTTGAGGAGCAGAACATCAACCAGGCAATTTTCCTTGTACTTAGAACTCATCAGCTATCACACATGTGCATGATATAGGTAGGAACGGTACCGTCATCTTGACATGCAAAGTATGCTGAGACTTACTCATACCTGTCAACCCATACGGTTTACCAGTATTCTTGTACAAAGAAATTGAGTAAAAAATATATATTTTTTGGCGTTTCTCCCTTGTGATGGGACTTTGTAGGATGAACTTCTAGATTTAAGGGCACGGGGTGACCAATAAGGTCTGAATTGGTCTGTAATAAGGTAAGCACTTATAAGGGGTTCACATGTATGCTTACTATTGTGCTCATGCTGGAGGACTTCCTTGCTGTGGGTTTTTGCTGTCGACAAAGCACCTTTTGCATACAAGCAAATTGCATATTCTTCTGACTGAAGGCTAGAAAAATATGCAATTTTCTGAAGGCCAGAAAAATGTGAGCATCAATGTTTGTGTGGAGAGCAAATGGGGAAACAAACTGTTCCAAAAAGGTGGCGTCCTGATCAAAGGAACACAAAGGAATTCCTCTCTCGTCTCGCTCATGCACCGGTGGTGGAAATTCCACATTCTGATGGAACGGTTGAGCTATTCCACAATACATATACCCGCACAGATAACAATCAATTTTTATCAACGAAAAGATGCATCGAATCGCTACCCTTTAAAGTATATTGTGAAAAAGCATTAAATAATAGTTAAAAGGGGGGGGGTTGCGGAATTCATAGTTTTGCGCGTAACGTGCCTACAGATGTCCAAAGTGTAACATGACCACACATTTGTCAAAAGCAGGGAGCGAACACGCATCCAAGGGGGCCAATATCCACCGCCGGGATGGCAGCAATGAGATCACTTCCTGTGCACGAGTGAAATGGTCGGTGGCAGCGGTGGACTGTGAGGGGTGGCGACGGCGTGGAGGCCTCATCAAGCAGTGGATGGACCATGACTGATAACGATGATGATGATGATGATTACTTGGGACTGGCGAGAAAGGTTGCTGGCGCCAGGCGCCGGAGGGCAGGCACAGTGCCGCAAAAAACTACGATGCCAGTGCCCAAGCGCAACACAGTTACGGTGGAAGGGAAACTGTGATGGGAGCGGTTGGAGTGGGGGGGTGCTGAGGAGCCCAGCTGCCTTTGCACTGCAGAGCCATTTGCTATTTATAGCTGGGGCTGTAGATACCGCGCTTGGCGCGACTCCAAAAGGACACTTTTTTTTGCAAACAATTCGTCCAGCGAAGGTCGCCGCCGAGTCTGAGCGGTTAACGAAGATTAACGAAACGATGCGAGTCCGCCTGCGTCCATGCGTGCGCGTTCCATGTTTATATATGTTTTTATTTCGCGATGCAAGCGCTCGCGTTCACAACCTCTTGTTGCTAATGCTGGGGTGGGTAGTTGACGTTAATGCTCCCGAGGGGGGGGGGGGGTTATTATTTTTTTGCAAGTCACTTGCTAAGCACAAGACCAAAATGTCAAGCATCCAGCAACAAACAGCACTCGCAATAGATAAGCGTTAATGTGTTTTTGTTATTTTATACCTACGTGACGTTACCGAATAGAACCAAAGAGTGTGTTAATGTTTCTTGAATTGAGCACAGTTGTTAAAAGCGCTTAGGAAAATTAACAATGGGATTGCCAAGTGCCGCAGTGTGGCGAGTGGATGGGTGTGTGTGGTGAATGAGTGGGTGAGTGAATGTGTGAGTGAGTGTGGTGAATGAGTGGGTGAGTGCCTGAATGAGTGTGTTGTTGTGACCTCCAGTGTGGTGGATGAGACTAAACATTTGGTCTGGTAGACCGAGTCCTCTACCATGATTGGAGAGATCAAGGAGTGAAACCACATGTAGGCCACTCACTCGGTGAATATTTTACAATTAATCTGTGAATTAACGATTCAGACCAACACACGCCTCCAATCTACGTGAACACACAACCGCCTCTTACTTGCAACTATTTCGCCAAAATAGTTCACACCTACTTGACCGATGACAATGCACTGGCAACAGCCACGGGTTGTTAGGGGAATTAAAAGGCTTCCAGCGTGCAAACTGCCTTAAGTCTGACCACGAGGCAGTCGTACGGCCAACATAGCACACAATAGAGTACAATCAGGATGAACAGGAAATGTGCGCGTACCTTGGGTGCCCTGTATGAGGCTAAGATCTCGCGTTGGTACAGGGCCTCTGGTGGACACTTGACCCACGTTTCCCCTGGCTGGCTGGCCCATGCCTGTGAGATTGAAAATAATTATAATTGTGTACATTTGGCATTCGTGCCATTTCCATAGTGCAAGGGCATCAGGAAGGGAGGCACTGTGTTTCACAGACGTAGTCTGCAAGTAGTTTCACGGTCGCGAGACGATGTTGTTGCTCTTTGTGTTTAATCCCAACTGAGTGATTTAACAAATTTGGTCAATTTAGACCACGACACCGGCGCATAACGGCCTACTTGGTTTCGAACGTCAGGATATAAACCTTATGGCGGGACCCCGGGGTCCCATAAGCCCCCGGTTCTCGCATCAACTGCGTTGCGACGTCATTTTATGTCCGTTGAAGGCGAACAATACAGCAATCTATTCCTCTCGACGAACTTTACACGATGCGCTAATAAAAGTTTAAAAGTTTTGTTTCTTCTGCGCATTTGTCCTCACTGCGCTTGGATGACATGACAACAGAATGATCCACGCCAGATGGGTCGCAGCGTTTATGTGCGCGGTGGGACGGAGTCGCCAAAAATACATAAGTTAATTACGATTTTGACTTCTATTTATTCGGGACCCCGGGGTCCCACCAAAAGGTTCATATCTACAAAATCCACTGTGAAGCAGACGACGGGTACAATTTTATGATTAATCCACCCGCAGTATTAACCAGGGTGCCCTGCCATATCGAACCACGAACTTCTGCTACCGCTGGGCAATCTTAGAGCCCGAAATTTAATTAGCGGAGCACAAGTAACAATGATAATAACAGAGCGATCAGTTCCAATACAATCTAATCAGACCTGTGCCCTATTTTCCAAGACACGCACGGCGCGGACAGACCCTCATCCGGCAGTGCATGAACAAGGGGGGCTCGTGTACAAGAACACATGCATTTCGATTATTACCTCCGTAACGACACCCCGATACCTGTTACTTGGATGATTTATAAATTATGTACGTGTGCTTGACTAATTTGTGGAACGGCTCAAAATAAATTTCGAGCTTTTAAAAGCGCAGCAGCGGCGGCGGACGTACCTGTTGCGCCCCTGCTGCGATTTTCTTTGACAGCCAAGAACTGATTTTTCCCGTGCTTCCCGGTCGCCCCCGTCGTCGCTCGGGATGACGCGAGCGCCTGGGTTAATCCTGCGAGCAGCGGGACAACGGAGACAGAGTGAGGCGTCAGGCGGCCCTTTATGTTACGCGGGTGAGGCCGCGTTGAGATTGAATGCCGTGTGGGTCGTTTCTGCGGTGGGGAGGACCCCGCGTCGACGTAGGGGCTGCTTGGTCAATTGTTAATGTGCGTGTCATTAGTTACAGGTATTTGTGTCTTGCACTATCCAGGCTGAAGCCCGCTTGGGCTTCTAAGATCAGGCAAATTATCGGTAATTTTGACATAGGAATAGCAGGTGCTGTAGGCTGCTGTAGGCTGCGAGGATAAGTTGTCAGCAGCAGAGGCCAGTGCAGCAAATTATTTTAGTGTACTGTACTATACTCCCCACCAATGGTCAAATTGACCCGTATGACCTGCAGTGTGGTTAGGCCCTCATCCAGCAGTGGATTGACAAAAGCGCTGTCACGTGATGTTTGGGGCCCGTGAGTTCGGTAATGCGTACCCCGCTGAACTACAGTGCGTCGCTTTTGTTTCTTTTGGAATAAGAGAGTTTTGAAAGATTCTAAATGAGAATCTTTTTTTTGCTTGCATACTTTCAGCTGGTGTCTGGTTTTACTGTGAGACTATGTCTGTGTACAGCAGCTCAAGGAAAAAAATCGAGGTGAAAATCCCCCAGTTCACGCAGGCTTGGCGTCAAAGATTGACGTTTTCAGAAAAATTACTCACGACTTCAACGTAATTTACCACCCGAAAAATTAGATTTTACTCAGTGTCGAAAACAACCATAACTCTAACCCAAATCTTATCTCAAATGCAGCAGGCAAACTAGAGCATTTAGCCTAATGTATTGATATTGTTTTCGGCGGTCTCGAGCAGTGGTGTAGTGGTAAGCGCACAAAGCTGCAAATCCGCCAATCTGCATTCAATTCCTGAGAGTGTTTAAAGGTTTGTTATGAATGCGTTAATTTCACGGTGTAAGTGAAGCTCCAGTGATATCAGAGCTGTGATTTCATGAATTTTGCAAGTGATATCACTAAAGCATTCTCCTTGAAGTCAACTTAAAGTCTCTCCCCCTCTCCTGGGAGGGTGGCTCAGAATTCAGAGCTCTGAGCTGGCACCGCCGAGAATCACGAAATCCTAAAACTCGGATTCTTACCCAGAATCTCAGCAGCACTGGCTCAGGTTGTCCAACCCCAAGTCCACTTGGTCACCATGCAATAACTAATCTTTTTATAGTTTAAGAGAAAACACATTGAACTTTGAGTAACGCTCCGAAGGCAGCGACCGAGCACACTCACCATTGTTGAGGACGCACGACCGGCCAGCCTGGTTTCGACTTTTCATCGTGTCGCCGTGGACACGGTGACCGACAGCTGCCAAGGGGTCCTCGTCAACCCTCGGCTCCTCCCCATTTGGGCGTCTCCCACGCTCCGGATGCGCCTGTCTGCCCACACGCTCCTTCAACCTCAGCAGCTTTTCGCCGGGCTTTGGCGAAGTGCAGCCGGAGAGCCCGTCGCCATCTCGGCCGGTCGGTACAACCGTTTGATTCCTCGCGAGGAAACCTTCCGCCGCCGCCGACGGCCGGTGCTGAGAATAACCGTTGCACTCCATCCAAGTCGGCTCTTTCTGCGGAAAAGCTGCGAGCGTCGAGTTCCGAGCGAGTCGCTGCGGAGGGCTGCGATCGTAGTCGTGCGGCGCATGCGCCAGCGCGATCGCCTCCTCTTTGTTTTTAGTCGACGGCTTTCTCCGCTCGGTGACCGCCACTGTACTCCTGCGATCGGCAACCTCTCGCTCCTCCTCCTCCCCGCGGTGGTGGTGGCGAGCAAATCCGTTGAGCATCAGCGCCCGTCCCGTGCGCCGCTGCCCCTCCAGCAAATCGAGAGCAACGGCGTCATTCAAGATTCGCACGTCCGTCCCGTCGACGACCGACGAGCTCACGCTCGCACAATCGGCCGAAAGGACATCGCGCCGGTCACCAGAGTAAATCTCGCGGCTCCGTTGACTCGCCACCTCCGTTTCGGCACGCGTCTGCTCGGAGAGGAGCCAGCGAGCCTCCAGCTGGCTTCGAGTCAAGCCCGGTTGCCTGTGCCGCTCCCGAGGCCTTCAGGGGTACAACGGGAGAAAGTTAAAAGCAGAAGTTGCCGATGTGTTAAAGCATAGATGAACGCCACGATAAAACAGCTGGGACACGTCGTCGGTGATTAAAGAGTCGGCAACGTTTTCGTTAATTCAGACAGACGTTATCATTCTCAAACGACGCGGGAATCGGAATGTTATAGAATCTGTAAAGCGCTATTGCTCATTCAACCACCGAGTGGCTAAATGGAATTGCAAGTATCCTCCCTTCGTCGCCATCGAGGTAACTAGGAAAGCTGTCAAAGCTGTTTACAATCTCACCTCGCAGCAAAACGGAATCTTACAGCGTCCGTCACGAAGCGGTGGAAAACAATCCACGTTCGTCTGCTGCCGGTCAAAGCGGCAATTTCTTTCAAACGGCGTCGGTAGCAGCGAAAAACACAAGCGCAGCAGCAACAGCATCAAGCGCTCGCGCCAAGACCCTCACGGTGGTGGCAATGGGGTAACCAAAGAGAATGTAGTTCGGTGGAAATGGAGCCACACCCTCAACCCCGCGGTCTCCGACTCGCCCGGGTCTCACGTCACTGTCGCGAGTGGCCCCGGGGGCGGTAATTGACGGCGACGACGCAAGCCAAATTTTACTACTCTGCTAACAACTACTACCCAGCAGCAGCGCTTAGTGGTGCCATACCACAGGCCATTAACGCCAGCGCGGTTCGCTAGTCGGTTATAGTTTTACGCATGCAAGGTTAAAATAGGTTTATGTAGTTGTAATAATAACGAAATAATCTGTTTTACGGATAAAATATTGGACAGGGAACAATTTAACTACTTCACACTCCTCGAAAATCAATTGTCACGATTCAGAACGGCAATTCAACCCGAGTGTCAATTCTTTAACGTCTCATTTTTGCCATCTCGTTTGTAAAGTTACACTAGCTTCTTTATGCTAATATCGGCGCGTCACTTGAATAAAATTTGTTAAAATCGTGAATAATTGTCCTCAAGTACACACTTTGATACATGTGCCGCAAGTGTAACAATCCATTTTTTTTCTATTCTATAACATACAATGACATATCGGTACATCTGTCAGTAGACCCTCGGAATATCTTATACACTCTCCACCAGAATCTCTTCAAACGAGACAAATCCTTAACAGGTTTCGACTTCTCCGACTCATCAGCATTATGCGGTCCGTCAAACCAAAAAACCAGGCACGATGAATTGTATTCATAAAAAAAATCTGCAACACGCAGAGGTTACCTTGTAAACTGTGATGTCCTAACTAAATCCACATTGGCCGGAGAGGCCCCATTTTCCAGAGGAGGCCCTCGCAAGCGCAGGTCTGGCACGGCCCGCGCCTCCTTCACGCTCCCCGGCGACGCTTGTGGCGTACGGGCCAGTGCGTCGACGGTGTAGCCCTCGGCAATCTTCCGCTCGGCCCCCCCTGCGTTGTTTCGGGACAAAGAGACGGCAAGTTCGGCAAGCGGCAGCGAGGACCCCGTGTGCATCTGGGTTAAACCCGATAGGCGACTCGGGAGAGGCAGGTAAAGCTCGCGAACATGCCACAAATTACGCAAGTTCCACTCCTCCCCAATTAATGTTTAATCTCGCGAGCAAACGCGGAGCACAGTGCGATTTCAAACGCCTAGGAGGGAGAAAAACAGGTGACTCAACATCGCAGCTATTGTATCTACGTTCGATTGCCACGTTTCAAACCGACTACGTACAGGTAGAAGGGCGGGAGGAAATGTGCAATCCGGTTTGGTCACTTTTTTTGCATTCCTTTCTTATGACTCCTTGACATTTATCTCACCCCACCACCACAATTCTGGAAGAGTGAGTTTTGGTTTAGTTTACATATCAGTCTCATTCTTTTTACCTCGGTGAAATAAGGAAAGGGGGGTTTGAACTCAGCGCCGCCTATTCTTAGTCAACAGCATTCTAGCACGTAATCACCGATGGTGCAGGCTGACGAGCGAGCCGGCCAGTCAACTTGCCGCGCCCTCCATTAATACCATCGCACAGCGAGGACGGCGGTGGTGGCACAGTGCTCTCTCTTATTACGATAATGGACGCGAAAAACGCCGCGGCAATTACCACAAACAGACGGCCGTAAATGCGCATTGTGCGCGCAGAGTATTGTGACAACTTCTCTTTAAATATTTACGGCGTGGGATTTCGCGGGGCGGGGGGGTGGGTATGGAATTAATTACACGCGGCGGGGGCAGCGGCATGAACACGCGCACGCAGAGGAGTGAGGCATGTAGGCGGGAGCGAGTTATTACGTGTAGCTTTGACGAGGCAACTCTCCACGAGCTGATCAGCTTTAGCACCCCTGCTGCGCTACCAACAGCCTTATTTGATTACTGGCGGCAGAAGTATGCGACGTTACAACACCGCCGCCGTTGCTAAAATCACGCAAGTTCACACCGCCCCCCCACTACCCCCTCCCATGAAAAATCGCGGCAGTGACAGAGCCATCGTTTGTTTTTTTGTTTAACTTGCCCATCAACCGCCGAAACGTTTCTCCTCAGTAAATTAAACCGGCAGACGCCATCCAGACGCAGGCGGAGTTCGCTCGCCGGCTCGCAACAAACCTCCAACTTAATTGCCGGCCACAACGCGCTGCGCATTCCGCAAATTCATGACGCAAATCCCCTTTCGCTATCTCGCACGTCAGCACAGCGGCTAAGCTACTGGGTCGTATGGGAGTGGGTGGGACCGGGTGAGGGGAGGCAACGCCAATTACCGCCGCGAGGGATTTTCCTGCTTTGCCTAGCCGGTGGCTTCTGGTGGACAGGCAGATCCAGGAGGGTGGTGCTCGCGTTGACCGCCTCCAGACGATTCTCGATGTGACGAAGCTGCGGGGGGGGGGGAAGAGAAGCACAACGACGCGCAACCTCTTCGTCCCCCTCCCCCTTCGCCGCGGCATTGACGTCACGAAGAGACGATACCGAAGCCTTCAAAGCAGGGGGTTTTCCGCAGCTGGCGGGCCCACTGTGTTGCAAGGCTACTTGCAGCGTTCGGCCAAGAGATACGACCCGGCATTAAAACACGGAGAGGTGCAGACCGGGAGGGCGAAGCCGAGATAGATAGCAGAGGGAGACGCGAGAGCTGTGGCTAAGAGTCATAGATTAGTGAGATGAGAGCAAGATAAACGAGGCACAGATGGGAGAACTCAAGGAAAGTTAAACGGATTAATGGTCGCATGTACAAACACCATGAAGTCACGACAACATCGTACGTCAGACATTTACCCTCGACATATGATGTCACGTGGCCCGCCACCAGCGCACATGGCAATTTACGTGCGCCGCCGGAAATTATAGTTAAAGAACCCTGTATTAAAAGGACAAGCAACCTCAAACAATATTGTATTATGACTCATAATCCTCCACTTGCACCACTGTGGAGGATTATTGCAGCACAATGAAAAAGAGGCAAAATATTTTACCAGTTTATTGGTCTATGGGTCTCTTGGACCAATGCTGAACAGAAGCATTTATTTGCGTAAGTAGCCAATGTATGGCCAGCCTCAACGTGAAAACAAGCCTCAACGTGAACCCAGAGCCTCAACGTGATTCCACAGCCTCAACCTGAACCCACATCCTCAACGTGAACCCAGAGCCTTAAAGTGGACCCACAGCCTCAACATGAACCCACATCCCCAACATGAACACAGAACCTCAACGTGATTCCAAAACCTCAACGCAAACCCAGAGCAAGAACGTGATTCCACTGCCTCAACAGACTCACAGCCTCAACATGGCCCCACAGCCTGAACATGAACCCAGAGCCTCAACAAGAACTATTTCATTTTATAATGTAATAAATAGCAAACAATAGTCTTTTTGTGGGAGGTCGTGGATCACGGTGTCAGTCGATAACTTCACTTACGGCACTCTTTGCTTTGTGGATGTTCTCCCATGCCTTGGACAGATCTGCCGAAGAGTTCCACGTAGAGAATGTTAGGAAGCATCATACAAACAACATGTGCTTCCATATTTACGTTCTCACTTTCTCCAATCTGCACCAACCAGTGTTGTGAAGCGTGGTCAAACAAACCCCCTACAAACCGCAATCATGTGGGCAGGCCCTCAATTATTTTAACACACGTCACCATTGAAAAGCACACACAGTTTCAGTGGGTTTTTGCCTGCTCGTGGACAAAGGTCAACGACTACAACTAGTCAACAAAAACAGCAGTACAGACAAGGGCTCATCACGTGCACCGACACAAAGATACCCCTGCCAACATCGCAAACCCAAGAACACGTGGCACGAAGGGAACAATTGACAAGGTCGTGCCGGTTTAAAAACAACAAAAGCACATATTCTTAGCTCTTTCGGTAAAGTCACGTTGAAGGGAAACAATAAAATAATAAAATATACATAAAACAATAACATTTCTCACGACGTTTCGACCATAACACAAACGGTCGACATCAGGTGTGTAGGTCCGCATTAATTTATTTATTTTAAAACGGTGTGTTTATTTATTTATTATAAAACGTCAGCGCCACGCGCAGCGATTTGGCAGTTTATTTAGAAGGACTAGTTCATCTATGTTCTGAAAAGAGGAGGGGGGAGACGAAAAAATTAATGTATGCTGTCTGAAAGCAACTGTAAGCGTGAACAATCAATTAAGACCTGAAATGGTTAATCAAATCTTTCCAATGATTGCTAAGCCAGAATCCAGCTTCTCGGTTGAAATTGTCTCTGTGGTTGTATATATACATATATCCATCTTCTCGGTTGAAATTATATCTGTGCTTGTATATATACATATATACATATACAAGCAGAGACAATTTCAACCGAGAAGATGGATTCTGGCTTAGCAATCATTGGAAAGATTTGAGTAACCATTTCTGGTCTTAATTGATTGTTCATGCTTACAGTGGCTTTCAGACAGCATACATTAATTTTTTCGTCTCCCCCCTCCTCTTTTCAGAACATAGATGCACTAGTCCTTCTAAATAAACTGCCAAATCACTGCGCGTGGCGCTGACGTTTTTTAATAAATAAATACACCGTTTAAAAATAAATAAATTAATGCAAACCGACACACCTGATGACGCCCGTTTGTGTTATGGTCGAAACGTCGTGAGAATTTTTATTGTTTTATATATATTTTATTATTTTATTGTTTCCCTTCAACGTGACTTTACCGAAAGAGCTAAGAATATGAATTACTGCAGTCACGAAAGCTTTAAATCAAAACAAAAGCACAGTTGAACAATTAAACCAACGGCCACAAATATCTGGATACGAGCTTTAATCCCACCGCTTGGGACACCGACAAAGAGAACCAAAATCTGAACAGGGAGTGGGCGAGCGCCATTGTTAGAGAAATGTCAGCTGAAGAGACTAATACTGGGTTCCCACAGCCACCTAAATCCGGGCCAGGCAGATTTGTGAAATCGGGCAAGTGGGTTCGACCCGGGCAACAACAGCGGCCGTACCCTTACTTAGCCGAGCGCGTTGCACCTGGGCCGTGTCGGCTGGCCTGCGTGGTTTGCTTTGACAAGCGGTTCATGGTCCCAATTTCACCAGGGCCCGCCCTCAGACACGGCAGTTACGTCACGAGCACCGTCAAATTGGCGTCGCTCACTAGGTCGCCATGGCGGCGAGATGTTAACTACCTCGCCTGGTATGCAGGAGGTCGTGGGTTCTATCCGGACCCTGATGCCTGTATCATTGGAGTTTGCGTATCTCTCTCCCTGTGGTCGCGTGGATTATTCTCCGGCTCCTCTGTTTTTTCCCTCCACATTTAGAATCAATATGCGTGTAGATCATTTGGAATACTATTAATTATACACGTGATAAGCCACTTCGTTGAAATATCATTTGTCGCTTCTGAAATAGAGCTATATAGCTCAGTGGACCTTACCTGCTAAAATAAAAAAAGTTTAGTTTAAGTAAATTGTCTGAAGATGTTTTTATCTTTATTATAACCAAAAATTATGATACGAAAAATAACACTCTAGTTTGGGATTGAGTAAGCTAACCAAAGCATGTGTTCACATTTGTCTTCAAACGATTGTGTATCTCTGATATAGGCTATGGAACTGATGTGTCGCGGCAAGATTTTGTAATAGGGCCCCATGCCATGTTCGTACCAAAAACGGCTCGGCACGCCTCGGATTTGGTTTCTTATGAAAGGTGAAAACGCGGCATAAAGAGGCTTTATCCAATGCTCGCCAGTTACAGCTTCTTAAATGCATCATTTATATGGATGGATAGATTTTATTTATTCTAGCAACAAGAGCCTCACGAGCTGCCGGGTTTTATTTCATGGGCATCCTGCAAAAGTACTGATGTTGTACAGTACAGATCTTAGTTTCACAAGCATGGTTACAATAGGCCGCGATACAATACAGCATTTATCGGTTCATTTAATTGACAGTTGACTAAAGTGCTAATGCCGGGTAACTATTGAATTTGTATATAGATGCAGAGCATTTCTCATCACCATGTTCACCAGATGTCGACGGTAAAAAAAGAGGGGACGATTCACCTGTGACAGACATGGGGCAGCCTTCTCCACCACCCCCTCCTGCCGGCTCGCCGAACCACTCCGCTTCCCTCTTCAGCATCGTTAGCCGCGACCACCATCAACACCAGCGCCTGCAACGCCGCGAGTGGGGTTGGGGGTGGGGGGGGAAAAAATCATCGGTGCGTTCAGGACATTTCGCGCGTGCCGACGGTCCGACTCGAAGCAGCATAAACCACCAATAATAACTTGAATGTGCGGCGCACACTCGAACACGTAAATCGCGTTCCAGCAGCTTCACATTGTGCTGCAGAAGTGGTGTTTGGATGTGGTGGGGGTTGGGGGTGTTTCAGCAAAAAGATAAATTTAGAAGCGCCCCCCACAGCTGCTGCGTCCATGTGATACAGAACGCGGGCACGACATTTTAGAATCTCCCTTAGTGGGTCACATTTCACGCCTCACACCCCCCCCCCCATCTCTTCCCACCCTCCACCCTCGGCTAAACTCTCCAAGTGCATGAAAACATTCCCCGATCGGCGCTGCTGCTCAGGGCGAGTTGAGCCGATGAGGAATGTGTTTTTTTTTTAAACCACCAAAACAGTTACTTCATTTTTAAAAGGCTGTACTCCTCTGTGCTTGACACGCCTCCCATCCTGCCCACCCGTGCAAGACTCCCAAATCAACTTAAAGCAGCTAAAACGAACTCGCTTTCATCCGCACTTGCACTCCCAAACGCACATTGTGTCAGAGGAATCTCACCTTTTACTTAAAGAGTAAGAATGTGTTTTGGTTTAGCAGTCTTTATTGGAAGTCGGGGTTTCCGTGATGGTGTAATGTTCAACACACTCCAATCACAATATGGTGGTAGCTAGGCCTCGGCAAGGTAAGGTAAAAGGTAAAAACAACGAGCCTACCTTTACCCTACCTTTTACCTTACCACAATACAATCACTCTACCTTACCTTTTACCCTTCAACAGGTAAGGTAAAAGGTTAAAAGCAACGAGCCTAACTTTACTCGACCTTTTACCCTTACCCCATACAAATTACCCGATTACAGGGTGATTACTGGGGTACTACTACACATGCAAGTAAACGCTAGGTAGAGCGCTTTAGTCATATAGAATACTCTCAATGATTCCAATTTTACACGCTTTCTTTTCACTCACTCTGTTGTTGTCGTTGTATCCTCAAATCTTGTAACTCAATTGTTACCCACTTCCCAATGTGGTATCGACTGCAAACTTGGTATACGTATGTCATACTGATGACAAAACTATATTCTATCATTAAAAATAAAATGAAAATATTTTTAAACATTATTTTTTATATGTTATGTTTCGGCTTGGGTCGAACTGTCCACGGTCAACTGACGTTGGCTGTAATTGGCCACGGCCCCTTACGTTGTGGCAAGCTCGGGTCCACTTCCTGGAGTCGTGGAGTTCTGACATTACTCGTACATTTCATAATAGCGTGTTTTAAAAAAAGTAAAAAAAAAATATTACTTATTAAATGGAGGCCACGGACTGCGCCACAGAGCTTTTAGCGGTAAACAAGGCACCGCATTTACCAGATAATACTCCACGCTACCTTTACCCTACCGGGTAATTCTTCCGAGCTACCTTTACCCTACCCTTTACCTTACCCCTTTGCATGTCGACACCTTTACCCTTTACTCCGGTAAAAAAGGGAAATTACCTTACCTTGCCAAGGCCTAGTGGTAGCCACTTCTATTCAATCTCACCACAGCAGGTGAAATGGGAATGTTTCTTAAATCTCCCACGCCTCCGTCCACCGAGAAGTATAAGCGGGTTCATCACAGTCAGTTGATCGGCAGGTCTCGTGTGGTTGGTTAAAGTGTGAGACGTCTGGCCATCGTGGAAGAGGCCAAAATACCCTCGAGTTGGGCTCTCTCGATCTCCGTCTAGTGGAAGCCCTTCCCGCCATCAGCGAACTTAGTAAGCGTTCCAGGGCTGCACCTTTGCCTTTGTTATAATTGAAAGGCTGATGAGAAACCACTTTTGCATGAGAGACAATGGGAACACTTCAAAAGCAATTATAATTAACGCTTTCAGGACATTAATGACAGTAAATTTTCAGCTCTCCACATAAGGGAATCTCCCACTCCGTGCCGCAATGGCTTGCATTGTTAGGATGTGATAGAAATTGTCATTGTTATTATATGAACCTTATGGCGGTACCCGTGGGTACCATAGTACCCCGGCTCTCGCATAATGTCCGTGATGCAGTCATTTTTAGTCTGTTGATGGTCGGCGATGCGGCAATCGACTCATCTCGACGAGGTGTACACGATGCACTATGGTGCATACGAGCGTTCAGGGCTTCAGCACAATCCTCCTCGCTGTGTTTCGACATCGCGGAGTAGCACTGATTTGGAATTGATTGGTACCCCAGTCGCGGAGTTACGTACACCCCTGGAAAAAATTTGTCCCAGAAATAAAATATTTAATTGCCTTGGCAATTTTGTATTATTTGGTACCCCGGGGTACCACCATAATGATCATATGGCCTGTTTGACCATTCGTTATTAGTGTGGGTTGGTGAAGAAAGGGAGAGAGCCAGGACCGAATCAGATATTACTCAACACTGGTGTTCGCCATGACCAGGAATGAAATTCAAGTCGCTTGAGTTTATAACAGAGTGTATCCGCCACCTCTCCCCCACCTCTTGCCCATGCCCACTGCCTGATCATTCATTTGTGGGAAATTATTTTGCCATTATGGATCTGGCCACTGACCAATGTACTTACTGTGCTGTGCCTTTACAATGGCTTTAAAAGACTGTGGTGACAAAGTTGCTCACTAAGCACGAAGCAACTCTGTTGATGGCAGCTTTTATAAGTAGAGGAATTACAGAACTTCCTTATTTTCTGCTCCTCCCACTGGCATTTAAAGTGAAGTGACAAACTTTCCTAGGCAGGCAAAACACAGAACGCACGCACTCTCCTCCATCATTGCACCAAAGCAAGCGACCTCTACACAATCCGGAAGTTACAACAATGCTCATGACGCTAACATACACCCCCAAACACCCCCCCACACACACAAAAATACCTCTATAGGCGTACAGACTATGGGGGCAAGTACTGTAAGCGAGCACCTATGAATGTCAGCACAGCATAAACGAGGGGGTGGTGTGGCCAGCACCCTGCCCGGCAACCTTTGTTCTCCAGTGCCAATGTTTACACACCGCACCAATTAGTCAACCAAGGCTGAGCAGACGTAGGTGAGGCACCAGACCGGCTGTGATAATCGCCGCTGATGTTAATTGTGGCGGGAAATCAAACACCGGCTGCTGGGTTCGTCGCACTGCTCTCTAACCACGATGCCACCACTCCCCAGAATACATCACCCCAAAGACAAAGACACACACACGCACGAAGATGGATGGAAATGAGCGTGGCGGCAGAGTTTCCTCGAGACCAGAGCTGGGCGGTTCGTGTCCCGTAGAGGACTGTGTCCTGTTCCTATGACCAGCCGCCGAGTCAGCACAAGCTCCGCTGCCTTCCCCCCGCCTCGCACAAAGATCGCAGTTGCGACAGGAGGGAGGACGAACTGCCTTCCTGTAGGAGCACCGAGGTTGCTTCCTCAATCGAGACATAGCCTGAGCTGACTTACAATGCACGCAAACAAGGATGACGCCGTGTTTGTCATGGTTAGCACAACGGACTTGCAATCCAGGTCGCCAGTTTGATTCCATTTCCGGGGCAGCACTTAAAACAATAGCACGAGTTTGCTAAATCCCGCCAGCCTGTCCACCTAGCATCATAAAAATTGGTACACCGGGATGTATGTTGAACTTCTTTTGCACTGTACGTAGCCAACCATGTTACCCTTCCATGCTGGCAAGTCATCCTTGCCAGCATGGAAGGGGGGACACCAAATACTGCCTGGAAGGGGTTTTTCGGAGCTCCCTCTAGCAGACGCCCTTCCGCCACGAGCGGTGTGAGCGAGATATTGCAGGGCTGCACCCGTACCTCGAACCTTCCAAGCAAAATCTGAGCGTCAAAGGAGGCGAGGGTGAAGGTGAACGGACGACGAAGGCAGCGAACGCACCGAGTCTAACCCACACTAGCCTCTCATTTGACGAAAAGAGGGAAAAAAACAAGAACAGGAAACCAACTGCTCGACACGGGCCCCGGTCAGGCAGCAGCGATGATGGTTCCACGGCCTACGCACCGACACCATCCACGTACAGTAGCAATAAGAAATTTCATTGGCGCCTCTCTGAGTCAGTGCATTAGTCACACAGCACTCGCTCGTGTAATGTTAGTCGTACCGAGCCAAACCATGACTCTTCCTGACCAGGAGGAAACCATCGACCTAACGGTGTATGGCATTACGACCTTCGAACTAGGTCAAGAAAGTTGCAACGCACCGCAAATTGTATGTACTTCTCTGTATTTGGTGTTGTTGAACTACTCTCCTGCAGAATTGAGTTACACACACTATACGTACTATTACAATATTCCCCTAATTTACCCAGGAAAGCATCACCGAGTTCAGGAGGGTCCAGCTAGATTGAGTTATAGTCCATAGTAGTTTCACAATGAGCGGCATTGGTTGTTGTGTTTACCAACGGAGATATTGCCAACCTGTACTACAGCGCAAGTTTTTCGCAATCGCAACGAAACTAATCCTCTGGTGTGTTCCAAGTGACGAACCTTTTCCATGCAATTGATTTCCTCCCAGACGAAGCCAATAAACAACCAACGCTGACGGGCATTCACCAGCCACGCGCAACAGACGGCAACGCGGGTACAACCGAGGAAGAACGCGAGCCGCTCAACACAGCTCACGGTCTCAGCAAGCGGAGCGAAACGTCAGACATCGTGCCCAAATAACAGACCCAAAAAAACGAATCGGCGATTTTTCTTTGTTTATATGTACCAAAGTGTAACGCAGTTTCATTCAAGGTTGTAGTTTGGAACGAGGTACGTACGCGCCGCGCCGATCGTGGGATGTGGTGGGTCCGACTCGTTTGAGCGCGTGTTCACAAGTGCGGCCGTAACCATAACAAGCTTCACCCGTGCCATAAACATAACTCGCAAACAAGCCCTAACCTCACCGATACAAACATTGGCCTTATTCCCTTCCTGACAAGCCCGAGATATGGACTTAACATAGCCCACACTTTGATTTCAACACTGATACTCATACTTCCTTACAGCCCTTTGACAATCCAATTCGGAAGGTCTCCCCTGCGAAGTTGTTGGTTATCGGGATTGTTTAACCATTCGTTACAAGGCTGGTTAGTGCAGTTTGGTGAAAAGAGCGGGGTCACCCAGGACCGGTTTAGGTATCACTCGCTCCTGATGTTATAGCCATGGCTGGGACTCGAACTCAGGCCGGCCAGTGCGCTAAAAACAGCACCACCACTCCACCCAATACTCCCCTCCTAATTCTTAAACGCAAACACATTTGCTATTTACCCGCTAACCTCAAAGCCAAGCTGTAACCTTAACAACGGAAACGCGGAATGCTTCTGGTAGGAATCGGGGTGAGAGCGGAGCTTGTTAATGTCAAACGCGACGCCACGCAGTTCAGTGTAGAAGTGAAAGAAGTGACTCTAGGTCAAGGCAGTGTCATTGACGAATGTGTCGAGTCGTTTTGTTATTTGCGTATCACTGCCAACGCAGAATCGCCAAATAATGTGTTTTCCTCTGGACAAAAGCACAGCTGTGCTTATAACCAGCTTCTGCTGTGCAACAAACAACACTTTAAATGCGTTCGTGTGGTTAACGTAACGTGAAAATCATAAGAGCATATCTGAAAATTGTGCCTAATAGTTCGTTAAGCTCACGTTGAATGGCGGTGCGGTGGTTGTCGCTGTGAACGACAGTGCCAAGTGGTGGTATCCCCCTCCCCTGTCCTTGAAGTTTCCCTTGAGTCGGCTCGGCATTAACCGAGTAACTGTGCTTGATGCGATGTATAAACATGATCAACTTGGGAGCGGTGGTTCTGCATGGTCAGGCATTGGCAACCTGCGGGCCAGTCCTTAACAGAGCCCCGTCTGAAAAATGTTGGAGGGGATTTTTTTTGGTTTTGTACCGATTTCGAAATTAGTTTTTACTTCTTGTTATTTTCATTGCCCACCCCCTGATCACGGTGCTATCTGCCGCGAGGGCTTTAAAATGTGCTCGTGAACAGCACTTTGCCTGAAGTCCAACGGTCCGTGTGGCTCAACGGGAGATCTTTGAGCTTTGTGTATAGTTGCGGGGAGCGGTGGCGCAATGCTTAGCGTACTGCGCTACGAACCCGGACCACCCGAGTTCGATTCCCGTTCACGGGCAACATCAATGGCGAGTTATATGTGTACCAGTTCTGGACTTTCGTCAGGTTGGCTCGATCTTAAAGGAGCAACGGGTACCAGGCGCGGTACGGTAACCTCAGCGATGGGGATACAAAGGCGGCCGGGCGTGGTTCAAGCCACACGACACCCCCGAAGCGTTGTGTTGGTATTACTAGGTGATCGCTAACCGCACTTGCCCTAAACAATCTATGTAGGCTACACGGGGAACGCGTTATCTTGGTGTTGTGTTACATGAACGTGTCTGTGTCTATGTTCAATGCGAGTTTGCGTATACTGTGTGCGTGTACGTAACGTGTGGACGTGTGTGCGTATTACGCCAAAGTATTGGTGAACGGAGCGTTTCGGCATTTAACTCCACGAATAACTGGTTACCTGATAATGCCACAACTTATAAACCAAAACAAGAGAAGTAATGCTGCGAGCGACAGACTTCGATGACGTGCCTCGGTTATCCTAGTTCCGCTGCGGGAAACGAGCGCAACGAGCGGGCGGGGGAGGTAGGCCGCGGGGGTGGTACGTACGAAGGTCGAAAAGGTGGTCGTTTTCGACCGCGAATTCGCGTACAAATTAAACCTTACGTAGCGGACCGCGGAAATATTACAAATTGTACAAAAAATTAACAGAAGTGTGAAATCAAACGTAAACCTTACTTGTGAGGAGACGGGACGAAGTCTTTGGCGGCAGAGAAGGCGCCGCTCATTCCGGGCCGCTCCCAACGGGCCCTGCGAACCGATTGCTTTGTATCGATCCAAACGATGACGATTCGAAACCCTTTTTTAACGTAATATTTATTATCTTTTATATTTTTGATGACATCTCCGTTCGTTGCGCTTTGGTTAGTACAACCGTCGTTACCGTATTTTATCGTGTAATTTTAATGAATCGAAAAACGACCGATTGCTAGGCACTTACTTTTATGTAGAAAATCGAGAGAGTGGGATTTAATTCCTCATACGATTCCACGAATCGCTAAATGGCCTGGGGTTGTACCGCTCGTTGTGAGTTGTCAGCTTGGGGGGTTTACCTCCATCAATGTAAAATGTTGGAGGTTATGGCCCAGAATGTAGAACCTAATTGTCGTCAGTTATACAAAGTAATATACATTTGCGTTTCTTTTAAATGGTAGTTAGTGTTGTTGATGAGTGTGTTGAGGTTTAAGACTTGAGGGTTTTACTTCCAGATATGTTATATGCCAGGTTGCATGATTTATCTCCGGGCATGTCATGTCAGATTGGAGGGTTTACGACTACAAGTGGAGGGGTTTATCTCTCTTAGTGTGGTGTCAGGATGGAGGGTTTATCTCTCAGTGCGGTGTCAGGATGGAGGGTTTATCTCTATCAGCGTGATGTCAGGATGGAGGGTTTATCTCTCTAAGTGTGATGTCAGGATGGAGGGTTTATCTCTCTTAGTGTGATGTCAGGATGGAGGGTTTATCTCTCTTAGTGTGGTGTCAGGATGGAGGGTTTATCTCTCTTAGTGTGATGTCAGGATGGAGGGTTTATCTCTCTTAGTGTGGTGTCAGGATGGAGGGTTTATCTCTTTTAGTGTGATGTCAGGATGGAGGGTTTATCTCTATCAGCGTGATGTCAGGATGGAGGGTTTATCTCTCTCAGTGTGATGTCAGGATGGAGGGTTTATCTCTTAGTGTGATGTCAGGATGGAGGGTTTATCTCTCTAAGTGTGATGTCAGGATGGAGGGTTTATCTCTATCAGCGTGATGTCAGAATGGAGGATTTATCTCTCTCAGTGTGATGTCAGGATGGAGGGTTTATCTCTTAGTGTGATGTCAGGATGGAGGGTTTATCTCTCTAAGTGTGATGTCAGGATGGAGGGTTTATCTCTTAGTGTGATGTCAGGATGGAGGGTTTATCTCTCTACGTGTGATGTCAGGATGGAGGGTTTATCTCTTAGTGTGATGTCAGGATGAAGGGTTTATCTCTATCGGCGTGATGTCAGGATGGAGGGTTTATCTCTCTCAGTGTGATGTCAGGATGGAGGGTTTATCTCTCTCAGTGTGATGTCAGGATGGAGGGTTTATCTCTCTTAGTGTGATGTCAGGATGGAGGGTTTATCCCTTAGTGTGATGTCAGGATGGAGGGTTTATCTCTCTTAGTGTGATGTCAGGATGGAGGGTTTATCTCTCTTAGTGTGATGTCAGGATGGAGGGTTTATCTCTCTTAGTGTGATGTTAGGATGGAGGGTTTATCTCTATCAGCGTGATGTCAGGATGGAGGGTTTATCTCTTAGTGTGATGTCAGGATGGAGGGTTTATCTCTCTTAGTGTGATATCAGGATGGAGGGTTTATCTCTCTTAGTGTGATGTCAGGATGGAGGGTTTATCTGTTAGTGTGATGCCAGGATGGAGGGTTTATCTCTCTCAGTGTGATGTCAGGATGGAGGGTTTATCTCTATCAGTGTGATGTCAGGATGGAGGGTTTATCTCTCTTAGCGTGATGTCAGGATGGAGGGTTTATCTCTCTTCGTGTGGTGTCAGGATGGAGGGTGTATCTCTCTTAGTGTGATGTCAGGATGGAGGGTGTTTCTCTCCTTGTGTGATGTCAGGATGGAGGGTTTATCTCTCTTAGTGTGATGTCAGGATGGAGGGTTTATCTCTCTTAGTGTGATGTCAGGATGGAGGGTTTATCTCTCTTCGTGTGATGTCAGGATGGAGGGTGTATCTCCCTTAGTGTGATGTCAAGATGGAGGGTTTATCTCTTAGTGTGATGTCAGGATGGAGGGTTTATCTCTCTTAGTGCGATGTCAGGATGGAGGGTTTATCTATCTAAGTGTGATGTCAGGATGGAGGGTTTATCTGTTAGTGTGATGCCAGGATGGAGGGTTTATCTCTCTCAGTGTGATGTCAGGATGGAGGGTTTATCTCTATCAGTGTGATGTCAGGATGGAGGGTTTATCTCTCTCAGTGTGATGTCAGGATGGAGGGTTTATCTCTCTTAGTGTGATGTCAGGATGGAGGGTTTATCTCTCTTCATGTGGTGTCAGGATGGAGGGTTTATCTCTCTTAGTGTGATGTCAGGATGGAGGGTTTATCTCTCCTTGTGTGATGTCAGGATGGAGGGTTTATCTCTCTTAGTGTGATGTCAGGATGGAGGGTTTATCTCACTTAGTGTGATGTCAGGATGGAGGGTTTATCTCTCTTCGTGTGATGTCAGGATGGAGGGTGTATCTCCCTTAGTGTGATGTCAAGATGGAGGGTTTATCTCCTAGTGTGATGTCAAGATGGAGGTTTATCTCTCTTAGTGTGATGTCAGGATGGAGGGTTTATCTCTCTAAGTGTGATGTCAGGATGGAGGGTTTATCTCTCTTAGTGTGGTGTCAGGATGGAGGGTTTATCTCTCTTAGTGTGGTGTCAGGATGGAGGGTTTATCTCTCTTAGTGTGGTGTCAGGATGGAGGGTTTATCTCTATCAGTGTGATGTCAGGATGGAGGGTTTATCTCTCTTAGTGTGATGTCAGGATGGAGGGTTTATCTCTTTTTGTGTGGTGCCACGATGGAGGGTTTATCTCTCTCAGTATGATGTCAGGATGGAGGGTTTATCTCTCTAAGTGTGATGTCAGGATGGAGGGTTTATCTCTCTTAGAGGTTAACCCCCCCAATTGTAAATTCAGAAAATCCCGAAATTGGTATATGTCCGGGGTTAAACTCGGACAGGTGGCAATCCCAGAAACATCCCAATGTAGCGGAACACTGCGGATAAAAAAAAATTCTCGTTATTTCAAAAAGGGCAGACACAATAGAACACAATGTGCTTGCAGAGCGAGAGATAGAGAGCATTAGCTGCTTTTTTTATATTTGGAGGAGGAGAAGCAGCAGAGCACAAAGCCAAATCGCGAGATAGAGGTGATCGGTGCACGTGAGGCCCGAGACGGAACTGACCTAAGGGCGAGCGTCGGGAGCCCTGCCTTTGTCTCGCCTCGTTCCGCTGCCACTGGAGCTGCACTCCGAGCCCAAGGCTTTTTTCCACTGAATAACGGATCGTGTCACCAGCGATCATCATCATCGTCGTCGGCAGCAGAAGCAACCAAAGCCATGGTCAAAACCCACTGATCCCGCCACCTCCCACGATGCCGCCATACACAGTCTGCATTCTCTGTGTTTTAATGCGCATTCTGGCAGCAGCAATTATGGTCGAGGGTTAAATGCCAATGTCGAGACCTGCTGGCCACGACGAGAGGGCTTCAGTGAGTTCGCGTTTGCATCGTTTTGCAATTCTTCATCCTCTGAAGGAGCGCAGACGACAGTGGCTTTAAACGTGGCATGTAGTTTGGGTTGCAAGTCCACAAGCGCATGACCGTGGCTTGTCATTGATGTCTCTCAATGTGTGTCTATGTGTATCTCTATAGGTCTGTATAACCCCACAATCTAGAATTAGGTCTCTATGGGTTTACTATATGGTCCATGGTTTGGGGTGCGTGGCCACAATCATACCACTTTCTTTGTAAGTTGACCTCCTTTCGCACGGTACGTAGCCAACCGTGCTAATGGGAGGTACTGTTGCTCGTGGCTTTAATTGTTCATTCGTGAAGGAGTCGTTGTGCATCAGCCTGTGGATGTTCCGATGCGGCTGATGGTTACACCATCAGTGTCCGTGGAATGTCAGAGCCAGGGGGAGGTGCGATGGTGTTTGGGTCTCGAATGAGGAGGTGCTTATTCTGGACGTCCGCGTTTAAAATGCAATTCAAGGAAATAATCCATCTATAGCAGCACACGAGATGATTCCATCGCTTCATCTCCCCAGTCGATGCCCTCTCTGGTGCATTCCCTTCCTGACAAACCCGGAAAAATCCTAACAACGCCTAACGTCCGTGGCGAGTGGTACAGTGAGGGAAAAAAGTATTTGATCCCCTGCTGATTTTGTACGTTTGCCCACTGACAAAGAAATTATCAGTCTATAATTTTAATGGTAGGTTTATTTGAACAGTGAGAGACAGAATAACAACAAATAAATCCAGAAAAATGCATGTCAAAAATGTTATAAATTGATTTGCATTTTAATGAGGGAAATAAGTATTTGACCCCTCTGCAAAACATGACTTAGTACTTGGTGGCAAAACCCTTGTTGGCAATCACAGAGGTCAGACGTTTCTTGTAGTTGGCCACCAGGTTTGCACACATCTCAGGAGGGATTTTGTCCCACTCCTCTTTGTAGATCTTCTCCAAGTCATTAAGGTTTCGAGGCTGACGTTTGGCAACTCGAACCTTCAGCTCCCTCCACAGATTATCTATGGGAATAAGGTCTGGAGACTGGCTAGGCCACTCCAGGACCTTAATGTGCTTCTTCTTGAGCCAATCCTTTGTTGCCTTGGCCATGTGTTTTGGGTCATTGCCATGCTGGAATACCCATCCACGACCCATTTTCAATGCCCTGGCTGAGGGAAGGAGGTTCTCACCCAAGATTTGACGGTATATGGCCCCGTCCATCGTCCCTTTGATGCGGTGAAGTTGTCCTGTCCCCTTAGCAGAAAAACGCCCCCAAAGCATAATGTTTCCACCTCCATGTTTGACGGTGGGGATGGTGTTCTTGGGGTCATAGGCAGCATTCCTCCTCCTCCAAACACGGTGACCAACTACAAGAAACGTCTGACCTCTGTGATTGCCAACAAAGGTTTTGCCACCAAGTACTAAGTCATGTTTTGCAGAGGGGTCAAATACTTACTTCCCTCATTAAAATGCAAATCAATTTATAAAATTTTTGACATGCGTTTTTGTGGATGTTGTTGTTATTCTGTCTCTCACTGTTCGAATAAACCTACCATTAAAATTATAGACTGATCATTTCTTTGTCAGTGGGCAAACGTACAAAATCAGCAGGGGATCAAATACTT